AAATTTTGAGTATATTTCGTGTAGTAGATCTATACACTCCTGAAATTCTTCTATACTGTCTGATGACCCCTTACAAGGCAGATATACTGAAATGATTAGAAGTGGTTCTGCTCTCCTGAATTCAATGCATTGTATACGCTCGTTCCCATCTGGAAGTTGTGTGATATAACTATCAAGTTGTTTTTTCCACATGATTGCGACACCTCCGTGACCTCTAGGCATATGTGTTGGAGGGATTGGATCTTTTGAGTCGACGGCTTTACCAATTCCAATATATTCTTGGTTCAATTCATTAAGCATTTCCGTTTGACAGCTAAATAGCCATGTTTCCTGTAGCAAACATATATCCGCAATTTTATTTACATCATTAAATTATAGTCCACAAGTATTTACATTTTTACAGTTAAAAGATAAAACATTCAGGCACTGTCTACTATTTACATCTGTATTTTCATCTTCGCTACTTTTTATCAGAATGGCGGCTGTCTGAGGCTTTTTTGGTATAAAAAATGTTCTAAATTTGTTTTCTGATTTTTGCTTTGATCACTGTAAAAAATCGGTTGTCCCTCGGTATGTAGAGCGTTGTACTTGTTCAATCCTGTAAACCCATTCTGTGGAGTTTCTGAATGACGGGCTGTTTGTATATTATGATCATGTGTGAAGTTCTGAGTTGTTTTGAGTTTGTGCTTGTTGATTCTTTCGTTCTGTTGTTGTGAATGGTTCCTTCCTTTATCAATATTTCCTGTTTCTTGTTCTAATTGTACTGTTATGAGGTTGCTATTATTACTATATTCTTGATATTCATTACAATCAGGATAGTAGTGATGGTTGTATGACCAGTTATCATGTTGATAATAGGGGTAATGGTAACTCTGCTGCTGACTACTATAGTAAATGTCTTGTTGACTATGAGGAGGAATAGAGGGATAGTCATAGTATCCATAGTTGTATGTTTCAGCAGGAGTATTGTTTACATTTTCTTCTAGTCTTATTAGATGATCTATTTCTTTGTCTACCTTTCTTAATATATAGCCTGAGACTTTTTCCTTTATAGCATTGGCTAGACTATCTTGTTGAATTTGAGTCTGACCTACTACTCTCTTGCGTTACATTGTTTCTGTTCATTGTGTTGTCTTCATTGTTGATCTTGTGATATAGGAACTTGACTGTTTTTCAAGCTCATTATTTCTTGCTTCAAGTTTATGTATCATTTCGTACAGTCTAGTTTTGTCTTAGGATTGATCATTTACGACAGCTTCTTTTAAACGTAGTTGTTCCTCTCTTTGTTTTAGTTTAAGTTCTTGTTGCTTTAATTCTTTTTGCTTAATTTGTTGTTATTGCTTGTTGGTTAACATTGGCGTAGTAGACATACTTTCTTTCTCTGATATGACTGTTTGTGGTGTATTGTTCACTTGGTCACTTGCTGTCTGTAACGTCTGTTGTAGGCCACTGTAGAAGTTGTTTTTGCTTGCCATAATGGTTGTTGTGTCATCATGACTTACATCCGTTTGGTGGTCAGTAAATTCGTCGATATTTCTTTTATTTTCTACCCGTGTTTGATTTTCACTAAGAGTTCGTTGTTCTTCTATTGCATGGCAGCTGTAAAACTGATCAGAGTTTATGTTGAAGCACTTGTTATGAGAAATGTGGTTGCATGTTGGACAGGCTTGTTTGTCATCCGTCATTTCATCATTGCACACTAGACATTTTTCATCATCTATCGTCTCCTCTCTTAATAAAACTTCAGCAGCCGTGATAGCATACGGTACAGTAATAGGTTACTTGCTACATGTTTTACAACAATAGTCAATATGTGGTAGGTTTTGAATTTCTGTGAGGGATAATTTTTCACAAGAGTAATGTACCCAGTGACCATTTATACACTGTACTGCCCTAGTCTTGCAATTACGTTTACATTTCAAGCATTAAACAGGGTTAGAGTCAACAGAAGTTGTATTGTTAGCGTCTATATTGCTTAGAATATATTCAAGCTTATCTGCTAGTAATTTATTGAGGTTATCTTTGTCTATTTTTATGCCTTTCAGATTTGTTTTCCTCATGATTGTATGGATTTTTTCAAGATCTTCCTGAATAAAGTAATTTATCTTTTTGCCATTGACTAACATAGAGCATCTAGTTGTATATAGATTGATTGTATAGCCTCCATTATTGTCATCTTTAACCATGAATGTATATTGTACTATGTTGCCACCTTTATCTTTGCTTATGTCAATGCGAACATTTGACATGTCATTGTACAGAGTCTTGCAAGCAAATAGAAGAAGCTCAAATGATATTGCGTCAAGCTCAGCGGTCAGACCACCACCCGTTATTTCATAAGATATTTCTGTGCGTTTTGTAGCATCAAGTTTCTTTTTCAAGGCTTTTTTCAAAATTCAAGCTGTAGCATTTTGTGATGGTGTCAGAGTCGTGTATGTGATCAATAACTTTGTTACTAGTGTTGATATTGGGAGTTTTTGTAGTTAGCGCCATAATAACTGATTTTGAGTATGTGCGCTCAGATACAGTTAGCTTGGAGTTCCCATGCAGACTGTACTGACACACTATCGGCAGTTATTCAGTTGCTATTTCTTATTACTCCACTGCTCACGACCAGCAGTCAGTTTTGACTCTCTCTGAGATTTCACGTAGCCAGACTAATGCTAAATTTTGTTTTGGATGGATTCCGTCACTGTATAATGAGTAGTTATAGTAATGGACTGTTTCCGTACGAGAGCGAGTAAGACGTTTCGAAGAAACATTCAGATGAATGGAGAAATCAGGGGAGCTTGTGTTAAGTTGGGTTTTCAAATGTCTTATATGTACATTGAGTACAAATATTTGGCGTTCAAGTTCTTTATCTAAGGTTTTATATTCTTGTATTAAATTGTTGTCTGTTGATTTATTATACCCTTTTATAGAATATACTGGTACTTCTAAAAATGTTAACTTTGGGCTTGGATATTGATTTAACAGTTCAATAAATTTGTTAAAGTATTGCACAATATAATCAACTGTTTGATCTCCTTGACTGTTCAGTGTAATCTTTTTCTTGCATTTAGTAGTTAAATTGCAGGTGCCTAGCCAAATATAGATGTGAATTTTTCCAATATTTTTAATTCTACTATGAATGTTGTTATTGAGCCAGCTATAACTGTCTTGAATTTTGAAGCCACTTTTACACCACCATTTTATATGTCTATCTTCTGGAATTGTGACTTGATTTCTTAAACAAAATCCTTTGCTATCTGCTAATATTACAGGTGTGTATTTTCAATTACCATTGACAGGTGCAATAGGTCTCTGAAGATACTTTACTAATTTTGTCTCGGACATATATATTTTACAGTTTAAAGCATTCTAAGATTAAAATGATTATATATATATATATTTCAGATATCTATGCGTGCATAGCTGGTGTTGTATGGATGAAGCGTCTTACTATATATGCATGAAGCGAAAAACAATGTTATTGTTACTGTAGACAGAAAATGTTATTATTTGCTATTCAGTCACACAATATGAATGCTGGCCATGAAAGCAGCCGTTGTGGAGTCCATACTGCAAAGAAACATCAAAATAGTAAAAAAAAACAAACCAAAACAACTCACGTAAACCAAGATGGCCGCCTACCAAAATGGCGCCTTCCACCTGTTCCTGACCAACTGCACAAAAATATTTAATGCTCAACAATCGCCTCCGGGCACGAGCCGACTGTGCGAGGGCTGTATAGCCAGTCAAGGTCGTTAAAAACTTCCATCATCATCAATATGGCGACCGTGCGAGGGCTTTATACCAGTCAAGATCGTTAAAAAACCATAAGTAAGTAAGTAATATGGCGAATAACTGCAGTGGCGGGTAACTTCAAATTACCAAATATAAATAATATTTGCAAAAAGAAATCAACACAGTAAAGGTATGAATATTTATTATATTTTTTTATACCATTTTATACTCAGCACATGAACGTACAGAATTTAAATGGGAAATAAGGATAAGAAACGGATACCAGTTCCTACCTTTTCCACTATTTGGCCCAGAGTAGTATTTATTCTAAATATGCAGTTATTCCCCATCACATCCACCTATGAACCAAGGATAATAGCAAGGGACCATTAATTAAGATTTCTACCAAAGATAAACCATAACTTCGGCCTGACTTGAAATAGTAGTTATTTGGATGAGCTAATTGTTTGGTATTTGGATACGCCATCACAATTATATATAAGGAACTAGGTGCCCGAAACTACATATACTTAACACCAGGTTTACCCAGGGGTGTGCAATTATACACATAGAGAAGAATTTATTTGATTGCTGTATTTTACAGTAACTGATTATATGTATCAATATATATTTGACCCTTGGTTTATGCTTCATTTATGTATTTAAGTAACTGGTTATTCAACTTACAAGTTCCATATGAGTAAAGACTGTCGTCCTGACTGGTACTGATCTTTTGTTTGATGATCACCTGAGTGCTGGTGCACTAAAAATCTGCAAGATTAAGATTATACGATTGGGCAGTTGTTCTGTGGATGGGCAGTTGTTCTGTGACTGGGCAGATATTTCTCTGTTACAGACAAACAATTGATCCATAGCGGCGTTAATATATTTATTTAAAACTTACCCCAGGTCCCTTACAATATTATTTAGAAACTTAGGTCCAAGTCAGTCAATCAATCAAAGTTGACCATATATGAATTTGGCTATTCTTTTTATGTTTCATTTTGTCATGTTATAGCTCCTCACTTATTTATAAATTCCTGGCTTTCAAATTTTTAGTTTCGAGTGTTCCTGGTTAAAACTGAGTGAATCCAGTAAAGCGCTGTGAACGCACCACATGTTTTAAGACATATTTTATTATATTATCTAGGGGAATTTTGTAAGCATTACAATAGGTTCGCTTAAATGTTGTGCGTTACTTTGCAGAAAAAAAAACATAATTTAGAAATATTCATTCGCAATTTAAGAAAAATAAATCAACTTGTTTGTACTTACCCAGGCAGTAAAGCGTAAGGGCGCCAAGGTTCAGTCATTAATTGTTTAGGTAATTTTTACTTTGTTTGAATTAAAAACAAACACAAATATTCTCGACTTGATCTAGAAGAACTGTAATATGGTAAGATAAAATCGTAATACAAACTTGTTTATTTATTTTAAAACAATTTTTAACTGGCCTGTATTGAAATATATGTTGACTATATAACGATTTACATTCGTGTACAGCCACCTTTGTGCTGCAGGTATTTGAGGAAATATCAGGCAAAACGCCTTATCATTATCCTGTCATTCAGAATTTTGATTTCTAGTCAAGAATTCACTCCATATTCATAATTTGGATAATGACTCAAATTGTAGTACAAGTTTATCGCTAAGCATTTTAAAATTGGTAACATTCTGAAAAGAAAGAATATCGTGTATCAAATCAGGACACAAATAACTACAAAAAGAAAACAATAGCAAAGGAACTGCGCTTTTATTGCTGTTGTTCATCTCAAAATAACAGTATTGAAAAATACGACATTGGAAAAGAATGGATTTCGTTTGATAATAATTTCTACATGCACTCGACAAAACGCAAAGAAAAGGAACAGCGCTTTTATCATTGTTCTTTATTACACAGTCATAGTGAGGGCTGAAACACGGAGTAAAATCTTGTACCTCATTGCATGTTACGGACGGCCACTAGCGCCAATTTGATTAGAATTATTTGCTACAATAATGCTACCACCTCAAAATACACAGTATATATGAAGCTATGATACTGAAAATATTGTATGTTAATATGAATAACGCTTTAAAAATGGCCCTAATGTGAAATAAATTCAGGATCAGTTGGCCATGTTCTTAATGATTACGTACTGAACTGTGTGACCTAAAACCAGAGATAACTTTAAACTGTTTGACTGTAGTGTTTCCAAATTGTTGTTTTGCTACCTTTTTCAAATGTGTACAATTTTCAAAATTTAGTATTGACTGTAATTGAAAAAGTTACACATATAAGAACTTAACAATACTGCGTAGATATCTGACTCATTTGTATATTGAGTCAATGACCATCGAATACTCATAACATTTACGAAAAAACATTTTGAAATGAAAATATGATTTGGACAATGACTAAATGGGCAGTAATTATTCTACAATTTTGTATCTATTTTAATGTAACGTTTATTTATTACAGACTCACTGCATTTTCAATATTATCAATATCTTCTTTATTTTGTTCTCCACAGGCAGACAGACTTTCCGAAGAACGAAAGGAAGGTAATGCATGTATTCAAGTATAAATGTACAATAGAAAAATACCAATACCAATACCAACCTAGTATTAATAGTTTGTACATGCAGTCCTTAATGTTTAACAACTTAAATGTAATGATGAACTAAATTGATGTCTTTTCAATTATACTATTTTTCAATACACTATTACATGTGTTTATCCCTCTTAGCACAATGTCTAGGGATTAATTGTCAATAATTCCATTCCTCGTTGTTTACATAACTTAATGAGTAAAAAATTAATGAAATTTACATTTATAAAGCTGTTTGATAAGTCCTTCGGCAGATTGCTATTTGTTACTTGTTAAACGTCCAGTAGCAAATATAGCATGCATAACGACAAACCATCTATACGAAACCCTTAGTTGCTGCAAGGGTTTTTTAAATGCAAGAGATCGTGGCACTCACCCTAAACGGAATTAACGTCCACATTCCGGTCGGACGTTTTGTCAGTTGAAAGGATGTGACAAATGGATTGGTTATAAAAAATAAGGGGATGTGTTATGATTGTACATAAGACAACTATACAGAGTTCAAATGACATAGATGTTAACAAATACATTGTGTAGGGCACTGTACAAACGTCAACCATGATCAAAATACAGACCTTATAGTAAGCTATAAAGGCCAGGCATGATAAGTTGAATAATTCAAGAAAGAAAACCTTTTTAAGCAGTAAGAATTTAAGAATCATTAAAAAAATAAGAAGATGTGGTATGATTGCCAATGAGACACTTATCCACAAGACCAAATGACGTGGGCGTAAGAAACTACGATCACCATACGACCTCCAACAATGAGCAAAACCCATACTGTATACTAAGTTATAAAGGCCCCTGAAAGATAAAATGTGAAACAATACAAAAGACAATTTTTCAAGTATGATCCATTTTGAAATACTTTATTCTGAAGCTGCTATTTGTGATCAAGAATATTTATTAAACAATCGGCTGTTAAACAGATTATTTCTTTTCATAACACTTCAATCCAAACTTTTTGTAAATATACGACTAGAGGTATAGGGGGAGTGTTGAGATCTCACAAAACAAAACGCAAACCCCGCCGCATTTTTGCACCTGTCCCAATTCAGGAACCTCTGGCCTTTGTTAGTCTTGTATGTTTTTTTTTTAATTTTTGTTCATTTATATGTTTCGGAGTTTAATGTGACGTCCATTTTCGCTGAACTAGTTTACATTATTGTTAAGGGGCCAGCTGAAGCCCCCTCCGGGTGCGAGATTTTCTCGCTGTATTAAAGACCCATTGGTGGCCTTGGGCTGTTTTCTGCTCTTTGGTCGGGTTGTTGTCTATTTGACGCATTCCCCGTTTGAATTCACAATTTTATTGAAGACTTACTAATACCTTGTTCAAACTATGTTTGTAATTTGTTGTTGTCGTATTTAACATATACATATCGATATTGACATGCACTTCACATTTGATATTTAGTATCAAACGTTAAACTAACTCATAAAACGTTTTGAAATAAAGATCATGAAAGTCTAAAATAAACGCATTGAACAGAGTTAGCTTTAGACATATGCTATAAAACACGAGTTTTCAAAAAAATATATAAAAATATTTTTTCAGAGATTAAAGAACTTTTCAATCTATTTGATGTCGATAAATCTGGAAAGGTTAGTTTAGACGAACTTGCTAAAATTGTACGTGGACTAGGAGAAAATCCAACGGAAGAAGAATTAAAACAAATGTTTGCTGAAGTTGACAAAGATGGTAATTATCTTTTACATACAAATTTAATGGGTTTTTATCTCAATATCTTCATATATTAATGGGTGGAGATATGTCTATAAGGTATATAAGTATAACCAACATGCAGTAAAATAATCGACAAATACAGAAAAGGCATTATATACACTCTAATGGTGCATCCAATGTATCGAACTATCGATTATATGAGGCGGAGGATACCAAGGGGACATTAAAAGCTCACAAGTCAAAGAGAACATGACAACGCCATGGCAAAATAAAACACCGAAAAGACGACGAAAAGATAAACAATTTCGAAAAACACTTATCGAAACCTCACGACTGAGCAACAAGAATACAACCAAACACTGGAGGGTGATATCATGTGCCTCGGAAGGGTCAGTTAGGAGATCCTGCCCCTCTAGAGATACCTGCGTGTTAATCTTGTCAAAATACATTGACGAGTTTCTTCTGTAACCCTAAGATGTGAACAAATACAAAAACCATCAAATGTTTGGACTCCTTGTTTTTTTCCCTACGATACAGGGTAAAATATTTTGCCCCATAACACTCATTTTTCTTTTCATATAAGACTTCAATAGCTCATAACAGGTCATTTACCAAAATTTAAGCAGAGTCTAGATTTCTTTTCTTTCGATTTAATACCCTAATAATACCAACGCTAATATAAGGTAAAAGTCCGAGTCAGCCTTTTCCCGCAATTTAAAAAAAATTAAATATCTCGAAAAGGAGCTCCATAACCTATCAATATTTTTAGCTTGTTTTGTTCCTTAACTAATGCTCTTCTGACTTATAATATAAATTTTTCACCTAAGTACATCCTTAACCACTTTAAACTCTTGGTTATCCTTGAATATTCATATAAAAATTATTACCGAATATGCCTCAAAACACTTTAACTTTGATAAGCTCTTTTAGCTATTGCCGAAAGGTGATTTTTGACCTCTAGTTGTCATTTGGTTATTTGTGTTGGTTAGATTGCTATCCATTGGCGAACTTATACATCCCCTTTTATTCATCATGTTAGTAAAACATAAACATAACCCTATCTAGATTAGAACGTTAAATAAAATAAGATTAGCCTGGTTATTTACATACACATATTTACAACAATTTTATTTGCCACAATGTTGTCCTTTAAATAAAAGCTGGAAATATGAAAATCTGGATATCAGTTTCAGACATAAACACCTTTGAGAAGTAATGGCAATAACATATGAGAAGTAATGGCAATAACATATGAGAAGTAATGGCAATAACATATGAGAAGTAATGGCAATAACATATGAGAAGTAATGGCAATAACATAAAAAACCAAAGGCAATTAACATGGTATTATAATAACTGATTAAAAATAACAAAATACAAATACAAAACAAAAATGTAGTGGTTTTGGATATAAAACAGAATACACACGAAGAACCTACTTATTGCAGGGTCTGGTAATATTGATATAGATGAGTTTACAACATATTATGCCACATCTTTCATCGACCAACATCCCGACGAGGAGGCCGAACTACAACATGCCTTCAACGTTTTCGACAAGGATGGTAATGGATATATTGAATTAGAAGAATTAATTCGTATTTTAAAAGATATAGGTGATGATTCATTGTCAGAGTCTGAGGTCAAACAGGTTATGAAAGACTTCGATATTGACGGTGATAATAGACTAAACTATGACGGTAAATATAATAAAGTAATAGATCATATGTAGCAGAGATTTAATTCATCTAGCATTAAAAGACTTGCTATTAATAAATGTGTTCTCACACTTCAGAAATATAACAATTAAGAGAGGCGAAAGATACCAAAGGGACATTCAAACTCATAAGTCGAAAATAAACTGACAACGCCATGGCAAAAAAATGACCAACAGACAAACAACTGTACATAAAACACCACATAGAAAACGAAAGTAAATACTGAGCAACACGATGGTGCTCCGGAAGGGTAAGCAGATCCTGCTCTACATGTGGCACCCGTCGTGTTGGTCATGATTATGAATGTTTCTCTCTATAAATCCGACAGTATCTCTCTCTCTCTCTCTCTCTCTCTCTCTCTCTCTCTCTCTCTCTCTCTCTCTCTCTCTCTCTCTCTCTCTCTCTCTCTCTCTCTACGTGCCAACTTTTAATAGAGGGAATCCCTGTTATGTAATTTTTATTTCTGAAATTATTTCATATATTCTGTTTTCAGAGTTTCTGAAAATGATGTGTGCCAAGTAGAATGGAACATTTCTAAGATGGTGAATTAGTGCACCGTCAATTGTGTGAAGGATTTTCTGTCGCTCGCACAAAGAAAGAATAGATTGATCTGCGCTGTCAAGTATTACATTAGAATAAAAACATGCATGCAACTCTAGTATCTAAATTATTTTTTTCATCATTGAAACCAAATCCAATTTGGATTTAAGATATAGACATTATTGGTATTAATAGAATGATAAATAATGGTATCTTCATGAGAAAGCAACCTTACAACAGATTTAAACAAACAAATAATACAACATTCAATTACAGGCAAAAGGCCATATGACATGTCGAGCTCTTAATTGAAACCAGTCTAGGACAAGTGAATTATACCTGAGATCAAATATTGACACCAAATCCCCAACTGAGTAAAAACAGTAAAACAATGGAAACTATTGACAAAGTTCCTTAGTTTGTACATGGCGGAATTAAACTTGATTATCTCAATCTTTGGAATATCAAAACTAAAAAATAAATCTCCATAATAAGAATGACTAGATTAAAAAGCATTTAACTCAAAATTGCCCTTTTGCAAGTAAAAAAAAACACAACTAAATATAATATACATGTATTATATAAAACATACTCGAAGCTACTACAAACCAGCTTATTAAACTATGATGGTATTAAAATCGTACTTTTTAGTGCCTTCTGTTTTTAATACAGTCTAATATATTTTACACTCTGGTTTCATTGATGAGTTTACTACAACTGGGTTGATGACACAAACCAAGTAATCAGCACTTTTGTGCTGACAAGAAATATCACGGTCATTTTCTGTAAATTTGCTGTTTAATATTTCAATTCTCTTCAGCTTTGTATTTGACTTGGCCTATCCGCTGTTTGATTCGGGCGTCACTGATAAGCTTGTATGGAATACCAAATTATAATTCGGACAACTTTGATGAGTTAATAGATCGACCACACTACTTCTATGAATAAATTTCACACAGCAACATAATGAACAGTGAAGAAACACGCAAACACGTGGTTGAGTATTTATACATCCCGCGCAGCCAAACAGGCACCCCCTTTATAAAAATAACGAGATGTGTTGCCAATGAGACAACTATCGACCAGAGGACCAAAGGACGTTGATGTAAGCAACTATTATAGGTTATCTCACCACCTTTAACAATGAGCAAAACCCATATAACCGTATAATAAGCTATAAAAGGTCCCAACTTGACAATTAAAACAGAAAACCAACGGCCTGATTTATTATTTTAGTACGTTTTACTGTCGGAAGTGGAAACATCCAGGTGAACATATTTCTATACGGTTACCCCAGTCAACACTTTGGTTTAAACAGGGCGAGATGAGGTAAATGTTAATGTGACAGCAACCTAACAACTTAATAAAAAGTCATCTAGAGATCAACATGTGGTCTTAAACAAAAGACAAGTGTTTATACATTTTGTGAAGCTCTAATTCGCCGAAAGTCTAGAAATTAGTGGGGAAAAAAAAGAACAGAGACTATGGAAGATCTGCCTTTAACGTCAAAGTCCCCATGAGGATAGAAAACGCATCAAGATATACTAAGACAAACACGAACAAGTATTCTGACTTGGGACAGACAAATGAATATGCGACAGTGTTAAAAGTGTTTAATGAGATATCGTCCTCTTTTAATCTCGATCAGTGGACTACAATAGGGAGATTAAAGGACACACAATTAGATAGAGCATTTTATATTAAAGTAACGGTAAAATATGTATCAAAAACACAAGAACAAATCAAACAATCGCAAACAAATTACTGAACCAAAGAATGCTCGTAGTAACCGAATGCCAGCTCAAAGATTGAACCTGCTGATATAAAATCATACTACTGTCCAACCACAGGGTCTTGTTTAGTGGGTAAGATGAGGATTTACTGTCAATAGCGGTCGCTATCCTATATATGACCACTAAACAAGCCCCTGTGGTCCAACTGGTTTGTATGTCTTTTCTTTACTGCTTTACTATCACAATAAAGAGGAGTTAGATCTACATTGTGTGCAAAGCATTTATAAATATTAAGATTATGTGGAACACAATCCGTTCAGTACTCTTCTAGTCTTTCGTGTATTTTACATTTAAATATTTATTCATAACAATAGAATATTTTCTGAAACGTAGTGAACCATATGAGTGATTAAAGTCACACTAAACTTACATTTGTTTGAAGGTCGAAATCAAAACATTAGCTAAATTTATTAACTTCAAATTGTAAGTCATAATACTTTCATTGTTTAAAAAAGTCACTGTACGCATGCATTTGGTGCCGCATTGCCTTAACCATTGAATCTTAGTTGCTTTGATTGGTAACTAGTACTGTAACACTTATATTCATTATCAAATTATCAACACTCATTGTTTGACAATTGAAGGACATTTTAAATAATTTTAACGCAATGTGTCTGAAAATCAAATATATATGAAATTTGTCGGAAAATGGAAAAGAATTGAAATTCGTATCCAATACTTTATGTAAAGGAGTAACAAATTTTCTTAGTTTCATTTCAAACTTTTACATTCGATCACGTCATATAATGGTTTGAAATTAACAGAAATTGAAATAACATTTTATTAATTTTGTGCGACCCAGGAGCTCTTCTGAATTAAACTTAATCAGGAACGCTAAGACTTAAAAATCTTAAATCCAAGGATGTATAAATATGTAGAAACCGATGATTTAATCAATTAAATGCCAGATGCTTTGATATTAATCTAATACATGTACATATATTTTTTTATTCATAGAATATACTGAATTATATATGAAAGGAATTTATGGATACATGTATGGAAAGATGTCTTAAAGTCAAATACGTATAAGATATTTTGTCAAGACAAGTATCAAATACTTTACGTTAAAGTGTAAGAACCTGAATTTCATTTGGAACTATAAATTTTGCTCCAAATCTTAGGATTAGAAAATTTACAAACACCTATGGTTTATGAAAATGGTGATGTCTTAGGGATTGACAAGATAAATTTACCAATCTGCTTCTGTATTATATTTTATTTTAGAACGTATAACTAAAGAACTTGGAACTCACAGCCAAACTAGGAATCCCACATATACCCCTACATCATTCACGAAAGAGGAGTTTTTAGAAAATCACAAATACTTCCTTCTCTCCTTTGATATTGACATTAGAAAGGACAATGAACATCTTCCGTCTTTATTCTGGATAAATAAACTTCACAAAAATCTTTATAAAGAACGATATATATATATATATAGCCACGTCGCTAAGATGCTCGACAAAACATTTTTTCTGAAGTTCTTACCACCATTTTTTCTTAAGTTAAAGATGAAGGTATATTCAACCAGCGGTGTCAATCAGATATGCATTCTTAAAAAGTCTAAAGATCTACACCAAAATCTTTAATTAGAATATTTATTATTTTGAAGATATATCAAAACTTTTGATTTTTTTCTACGCTTTACATAACTATTTTCCATGCTCAATTGAAAGATCCAAAGACCTCTTTCTAACCAAATGGGAATCGTACACTCATCTCTACAAAAAATACAACGAAGATGATATCATTAAAACGTTGGACTTCTTGATCGACAACATATTTTATTATAGTTTGTTGGATTTATATTTAAACAGAAAGTCAGTATTCAAATAGATTCTTATTGTGCACCTTTAACGACCGACTTGTTTTTGCATTCATAAGAAGCAGAATTCACCCAGAATATTTCAAGTACAAAAAGAAAAATCATTTTGCAAAGTTCTTTAATTTTCACTTTCAGATATATTGATAATGTCCTGTCACTCAATTACCAAAATTTCAATGAGTGCCTGTATCTCATATATCCAAATGAACTATAGATTAAGGAGATTATCGATACTAGAAGGTCTGCTTCATACCTTGATCTTTTCCGTCATATTGACACAGATGGGCGACTTCAAACTAGAATCCATGATAAATGTGTGATATCATTTGGCGTTAACATATCTTAGTTAATCGTTACGCTCGCGCATGTTAACACTATACGGACTTAATGAACATGGATATGCTCCTTACACAAAAACTGCTCCTACAGAGTTATGAGGAAAACGACTGATATAGACACTACACAAGTTGTACGGTAACCATCACAAATTAGTTGACTGATATGAGGTGTCTGTGTCTCAAGAGGGACGAAAGATACCAGAGGGACAGTCAAACTCACAGATCGAAAACAAACTGACAACGCCAAGGCCAAAAATAAAAAGACAAACAGACAAATAATAGTACAGATGACACAACATAGAAAACTAAAGACTAAGCAACACGAACCCCACCAAAAACTGGGGTGATCTCAGGTGCTCCGGAATGGTAAGCAGATCCTGCTCCACATGTGGCACCCGTCGTGTTGCTTATGTTATTACAAATTCGGTAAATAGTCTAATTCGGTAGGTCACATTCGTGAAAAGGGGAGGGTATTGAAGTTACGACATAAGGAACATATCTGATATCATCTGTGAAACGGTTATTCCATAACGGTCAACCAACTCGTGATGGCGTCCGTAAAATTTACGAAGGGATGATTTCAACTTCACCATTTGGAACTCTTGGTTTAATAGCTTCCTTGTGAGCAGCAATCCTCTATCAAGGAAATCATGATAGGAAATACAAGCCCGGGAATATCGTATCAACTGGGAGATATATACTCCGTATGCAGGCGCTGCTGGAATGTTGCTACATAGAAATGGAAAGTTCACAATTGGGAAGCTGAAATCATCTCTTTTGTCGTAAAGTTTTGTTTTCAACCGACCCTCATTGTCAATTTCTAGATGTAAGTCAAGATATGAGGCAGACTTAACTGTATCTGTAGTATCCTTTATCTCTAGTTCGATGGGATAGATTCGTTCAACATAGTCACCAAATTTTGTATTATTTATTGAGAGAACATCATCTATATAGCGGAACGTAAAGTTAAAGGATATTGCTAACTTCTTATCTTTCTTCCTTAGAAGTTCCTGTATGAAGTCGGCCTCATAATAATAAAGAAACAAGTCGGCAAGAAGAGGGGCACAATTGGTTTCCATTGGAATTCCGACAGTCTGTTGAAAAATACGTCCTCCAAACGGAACAAATATGTTGTCAATGAAGAAATCAAGCATCTTGATAATGTCAGTTTCAGAGAATTTTTTGTTTGAATCAGAGTGATTCTTTACAAAGTAGGATTTATCCCTCCCCAAGACAAGATACTTGTATCTACGTTCGCCATTCTTTTTAATGAAACAAAGTAATACCAACTCTTTCAATTTGTCTTTAAGTTTGGAATGGGGAATACTTGTGCAAAGTGTAGAAAAGTCAAATGTTTTAATACTATTGCAAGATGGGATATTCTTCGATTGTATGTACTCTAAAAGATCTTTGGAATTTTTTAGTATCAACATCTGATTCACGCCACCTCTAGAATAGGCAGTTTCACAATAACTTTGGAGCCCGGCTTTGATTGCTGATAAAATAGATGTTAATAATTTAGAAAGAGGTTTCGTGGAGCACTTGGAAGACCCATCAATATACCATTGTTTGTAAAGGACACTTATGTAGTTTAGGTATCCAATACAGTGATGGAAGATCCAGATCTTCATCTTTGGTTGAAATTCCAAAGGAACATAGAACAGACCTATGATTATCCAGGATTTCCTCTTTGGTAAGTGTCGTGGGGGTATATGTTGAGTTTCCAAATGAATTGTCAATACCTAATTCATTTATAAAGCAGTTTATGTAATGATATTTACACACAAAAACGATGTTGTTTGGGGCTTTATCTGCGGGGACAACAACATATTTGTTATGGAGGTAGGACAAGTGTTTTGCAACATTTGGGTCTTTAAAAATTGACGTAGCGTGGGTATTGATAGACCCATTTAGTTTCTTAATTCTGATTTGTATCAACGACCTCACAGCCTCAATCCATTCGGAAAGAGTATCTACGTCTTTTTTCTCGCGTTTAGCCCATTGCCTGGCATAATCCTCGACTGAATCTATCAGTATTTTGAAGTTGTATTTCCAATTGATGGATTTAGGCTCACGATATTTCGGACCTTTGGACTCACCAGCGACATGTTTTCGCGGTCTTAAAATTTTAGATACCAGAATAGTCGTTCTTGCTCCTTTCAAAGTTCGTGCGATTCCCCTGTTTGTGTTTGTTACATTGATCTGTATCTTAATGGATTTATTTCAACATCGGTAAACTAATTTTGCCTATAATCATAAATTTTAACAGAAGTAACACGGCGGGTGTCACTTGTAGAGCAGGAACTGCCCACCCTTCGGCAGTTCCATTGCTTTTTGTTAGTTTCATGTTAGTCAAGAATCCATATTTAGTGTAGTGTTATAATTTGGGAAGTGTTGTTTGTCCATTCGTCTTTTTTGGCCGTGGTGTTGCAACCGAATCTTTAATTTGACATTCAATGTGAAAAGAAATAACTGGCTTTATTATGATATTTGTTGGAATGTCCCAAAGTACAATTGAAAGGAATAAATTAATTACATTTTGATTTTTTCCACATTGACAACAGTTTTTTTTTAATATCGGACTCAACAGTATCTAAATTTACTTAATAATATCTGTTGCATTGATTGCACTTTTCAAAGTATTTATTTCGTTTATCTTAGATGTATTCAATCTGTTAAATATATTATGGGTCTCTTGCAGGTGAGGTTCATGATCTTCGAATACACGTGCATTGAACTAAAATTTATCTTTTGCACGTCAAGTACTACTGACTTGGTTAATGACTTTTTCGACAGACATATAAGCAAACAAATCTCATATGTAATGTTATTATTCAGAAATCTATAATGTTATTTAAGGGAAAAATCTCTTAAAATAATCATCTGAGAAACTATTGGCGATATCATGACTGACATTATCGGGATTTGGTACTAGCACTGTTTACGTGAATCTTCCTTGTAAGATGATATTTATCGTGTTAGAAAATGCTAGCTCTGGAATATCTTTTCAGCTTTGAGATATATACTCCATAACTACTGGAATGTTGCTACATACAAATGGAAAGTTTACAACTGCGAAGCTGAAATCATGTCTTTTGCCGTGAAGGTTTGTTGTCAACCGACACTTATTGTCAATTTCTAGATGTATGTTAAGATATGAGGTAAACTTAACTGCCAACTTATCATTTGCGGCTGTTTAAAAGTTTTAACACTGATATAAATTTATCCTGGTGAAGGTATATCTAGAAAGGCGCTTCGGACGCATGAAATTTATAAAGTATTATATTCATTTATCAAAGTAACGTGGTCGCTAATATACATTTCACTATGGCTGTCAAACTAGTTTAAACTACAAACTTCGCTAATTCAAGTTTTCAATAATTTCACTTTACTGAACTGAATTACTTTCTTCTAAATATAATTTGAGTTTATCTCTTACATTTACAGAAACTAGTATTTTCAGATAAGTAGGAAGGAATAAGTATGTGTCTTTCAACCTTTACCATTTTTTGGCTTGCAATTTTTCTGCAGAATGTTTATCCATACATGCTTACTCTACATGTATATTGAAGCGGCCAAGATCATAAACAGCGAAGAAATACGCAAACTCGTGGTAAAGTATTTAAACATTCCGCCCCGCTAAACAGACACACCTTCATAAAAATAAGGAGATAAGACAACTACCGACCAGAGAAATAGATGTAAGTTACTACATTGTATTTTACGTAACCTTACGACCCAAGCGAATGAGCTTACAGTATAATAAGCTATAAACGGCCCGGCATGACAAAATTTATAACGAGAAAAACGAGAAAACCAACGGTCTGATTTATTATTTTACTATGCTTTTCTGCCGGAAAGGGAAAGCCCAGATAATTATATGCCTTTACCCAAGTCAACATTTTCGGTTAAAAATTGAGATATGAGATGTATATAGAATAACTATACATTGTCTCAAAATATAAAATGTATTTGTAAAAGGCTTAGAAACTGGTAGAATGCGAGGCTCTTCCGATCATTTCTTTCTTATTTCGAGCTGACTACCAAAAAATTATATTTCGAGTAATGTATTGATATTCTCTTTAAACTATAGCTCTTACAAATTACCAAATGAAATAGTTGGGGGGGAGGGGACCAATTTTGAAGCGTAAAAATTTTGCGAACCTGTATTCTTTATTGACTTCATAAATAAAACTCTAAGGAAACGCATTGTCAACGTCATAAACAAGGCGATATATGGTCAGCGACTGTTTTCACAAATGAACATACGGTCAATTCAATTTGACTGCGTAAATAGTTGCACAGTTGCAGTATAGATGTTAATGTTACAGCAACACAATAATAGAATTTAAAGTCATGTAGAGATCAAAATGATGTTTTCGACAATAGAAAAATTGTCTATACATTAAGTCAAGCATGTATTCGGCCAAAATCTAGAAAATAAAACTTACAGAAACTATGGGAAATCTGTCTGCAACATCAAATTACTCAAAAGGAAAAAAAAACCGCATCAACATATGACAAAGAGAACCACTAACAAGTATTCTGACATGGGACAAGCACATGAATTTGTGACAGTGTTAAACTAGTTTTTTCAGATATAGCCCTCTTGTAATTTAGATAAGTGGACTAACAATATGCACATTAAAGGGGCATTAGCTACGAGATATATTAAAAAATACAATATGAATTTTTTTGTTCGATCATCAATGAAAGTGAAATAGTGAAATAAAAATTCGCTTTTAGCAGCAAGTTTGGTTCAATTTTGTCAAAATAAGCTAAGAAACATCGGTGATGAATTATTCACTTGCAAGTGAATAATTCGACCTCATTAAATCCGTATTCCTGTGACCTTCAATTTAACCCCTTAGATGGAGATGGGTTACGCATGTAGTCACGTATTAAAAGGAAAATAATATCAACATTGAAAGTGAATTAAGGATGGACCATTTGGTTGAATGATTCGATCCACACAAAAAAAATCATTCTTATACAGGTAAACACGACGATAAACATACTTTTAACCTACAATATAAATTCAAACAGACCTAGAAAGATCCATTTGCACGTGGTCGTTATCTATTTATACTTATATTTATGTTTATATCGGGTTATATGACCGTCAACATTCTTCGGAGGTCATCTCGATCGTTAATAAGATGACGTCTAGACAAAAATACACGAAATGCGGATTCATATAATCGAGTCCATGCATTGTTAATTGTTTATTTTAGACTTTTTTTAATTCGGATATATGTTTTAGTATGTTATAAATCAAAAAAGGAGAATTTGAGTCAAATCGGTGAATATGAATTTGACAGCTAATGCCCCTTAAAGGACTTTCAATAAAAAGCCTTTTATTCTAAGTAACGGTAAAATATGTAACAAAAACACAAGTACAAAAAAACAGGGATAAACAAAATACAGAACCAAAGAATGCTCGTATAAACTGATGCCATCTCAAAGATTAAACTTGCTGGTATGAAATCATGCAGTCCAACACGTTTGTATGTCTTTTCTTCATTGTTTTACTTTTAAGACAAAGGGGACTTAGATCTCCATTTTGTGCACAGCATTTGAAATATTTAATGTATATTAAAAGTCCCATGTAACACAATCCGTTCAGTACGCTTCTTGTCTTTCGTGCATTTTTACATTTAAACACTTGTTTTCACAACCATAGAATATTTTCTGAAGGTAGTGAACCATATGACAATAGTCACACTAAACTTATATTTGTTTGAAGTCTGAAATCAAAACAACTTATATTAACTTCAAATTGTGATTGCTTATACTTTCATTGTTTACATTCAGTCACTAAATATGGTAAGGAATTATTTCTTGCTTTACCTCTTTCCTGATTTTGTACATAGTTATGTGGTCTTAACCATTGAATACTAGTTACTTTGATTGGTAACTAATATATTAAAATACATCATCTAATTGTAAACACAGTTGAAAGACATTTTATATAATTTTATGGCAATGTGTTTGAAATTAAAAAATGTATGAAATTTGTGAGAAAATGAAAAAGAATTGAAACTAGTATCCATTATTTATGTAAGGGAGTGAGAAACTTTTATTAGTTTCATTTCAAACTTTCGCCCACTTGTTATGGTTTGAGAATAACCAGAAATTGAATATATCACTTCATAAATTGTATACGTCTTGAGCTCATTTCTGGATTAAACTTCATAATTAAAGCTCAGTCCTAAATATTCAAAAATCCATGTATAAAAATGTAGAAATCTTTGATTATGAATTGAATACAGGTGCCATTTTATACATTCTCGTTTTTTTTATTTATGAAAACTATACTGTATTACATAAGCAGCGCATTTATGGATGAACCTTTGCAAACAAATATGTGGCAAGATGTCTTAGATGTGGTAAGATATTTTAAGAAAACGACAAGTATCCCATTCTTTACGTAAAGGAGTTAGAACCTGAATTTTATTTGAAACTTTCACATTCGGATAAGTTTTATGGATGGAGAATTTACAGACACCGATAGTTTATGAAAATGGGGATGTCATAGGGTTGACAAGATAATAAGCCAATTCACTATTGTATCATGCTTTATTTTAACTGCCTAACGGAAGAAATTGGAATTCACAGCAAAACTAGAAATCCAACATATACCATTCACGAAGGAGGAGATATATGAAAATCACAAATCAGTCTTTCTTTTCTTGGGTTTTAACATAAAAAAGGACGATAAAAATCTTCCGTTTTTATTCTTGTCATAAATATCCTTACAAAGAACGATATATATTCGTTTCGTCAAGATGTTCAACTGAACATCACTGTCAAGTTCTTACAACAATTTTCTACAATTAAAGATGGCATTCGGAAATATTGTGATGATGTATATGCAATCAGCGGTGTCAATTAGATGTGGATTCTTAAAAGTTCTATAAATCTACTACAAAATCTTCAATCACAATATTTACAATTTTTACATCGGATGACCGTGAGGGCATTCCGGTGTATTGTTGCCACAGACATTTCTACTCACGTGACTTTCGTTTTTGACTGATAACCGAACGCAAAATAACATTCCTAATCGCTTGTTAGATATCAATTTCATCAATAAATATTCATGAAAATAATTTTTCAGAACATAGATAAATGATATGAAAATGTTTTGTCGTGAGAAATATATATATCAATAACAAATCAAGAATACCGAAAATTTGTGTTAACGCATGCGGAAGAATATCTCAAGAACGTTTTGCGGGAAAATATGAATGCCTATTCAAATCCAATCTATTAGAAAAATCGAATTATTACAGAAGAGTGTCCATCATGCACTTGCAACTGCACTATAATTAGAATAGTAGAATAGAATGATATACAAATGAATGAAAATTATATGTACATGAAACTGTTATATACAAATATTAATATAATATATAACAACAAACCAGAGTATACTGATTTGTATCACTACAATATAATAGTTATTACAGTGAGGTTGAATTCCCTGTCATTTATTCATCATCCACGCACGAACTTGTCTCAGAAAAAAATATATCTATGTACCTTAACCTCACTTTCTGGTATAGAGATATGATTTTGTTTTCTGAGACAAGTGCTTGTGACCATCCACAAGAACTTGCGGTCATCCGATGTTCAGTACTTCAGTACTTTGATTCAGTACTGTCAATACTTCTTTTATGCTTTACATTACTACTCCCCATGCTCAGTTGGAAGATCGACTACAACGTCTCATTACACAGATCTTTTTCTACAAAAATGGGAATTGTTGATACAAAATTAGTTCCATTTTCAGATATATTGACGATGTTCTGTCACTCAATAAACAAATTTTCAGTGAGTGCATGTATCTCATATATCCCAGTGAAATTGATATTAAAGATACGTCCGAAACTAGAGGGTCTTTCTTTTCTACAATTCATACTTCGATCTCTTCCTCCATATTTATACAGAACTAGAATCTATGACAAACGTGATGATTTCCAATTGTCAACTTCTCATTTCTCAAAAAACAAACCCTTTGCCCCATCGTATGGGGTTTACATATCGTCTATGTTTAATATATACAGAATTCATTGACAGGGGTGTGCTCCTTACACAAAAGCTACTTCACAGAGTTATGAGCAAAAACGACTGATCTAGACCTGCATTAGTTTTAAGGATATTGTTTTATTTAAATTGCTGTTATCAAATTTCTATATAACTTTAAATTAAAGAATGCATCTCCATCATGCATAGATCTGATTCCTTGTCTAGGTTTGGCTTTCTGTCTTCGGTCTTTTTGGTTTGATCAGCCGATACGACGTGTCTGTATCTGAACTCAATCGTGACATGTTTTCGTGGTCTAGAAACTTTAGGTACCAGAAAAGTCATTTGATCTGTAAATTTACATTTTATCCTATTCCCGATTGTGACATTTTGATTGAATGTGGATTTGCATACCAGGTGATTCTTGCATATCAGGCAGTGTTTACCTTCTCGACGCATCCCGCCTCGCTTCTTGTTGGAGTTCATTCGATTCCCAGTTTTGTTTGTTATCTTTTGATCTGTATCTACTTTGTCGAATCATGAAATTTGAACATAGATAAACTGCTGTTGCCTATATTCATCAAGGGAATTTTAAGTAACCCGGCGGATGTCACTTGTAGAGCTGGAAATGTTCATACTTCCGGAGTTCAATTGTTTTTGGTTGGGTTCGTGTTAGTTAATAATCAGTATTATGTGAAGTGTTTTCAAGACTGTTGTTTGTTCCTTCGCCTTTTTTTATCATGGGTTGTTAAAACTAAAAATTGACAACGAGTCTTTAATTTGACATGAGATTAGAAGAGTTTGGAGGTCCCAAAGGACAATTAATAAGAAATAAAAACGATTGAAGATTAAATAGCATTATCACCTAAAACAGGCTGAACTCGAATGGTTTCCCTGAAGAGTAAAAAATCCTGCTTGCATGTTCCATCTATCGTTTTAATCATGAAACAAGTTTATTATCTACCAACCCGTTGCGCCGCCAAATTTAAGACAATGCCAAGCAAAAATCTTACTACCCATAAGGCATAGTCTGATAAGAAATTATTTAATGTCACATATCAGTCAAGTTGGAAACTTTATATTTGATTCTCTACTGTTCATGTTTTATCATTTTTATCATTTACATATGTCACATTAGAAGCGAATATCCTTAATCATATATTGTCATTGTATAGAAACTCCATGGTGTAGTATAAACACATTGAAAAGGAGTTCTGGACAAAAATGAATTAATATTTAAAATTCATCACACATTCATTATCGTTGTTAATCATAATTTTTTAAAACGAAAAGAACGTTTTGAATCAAATAATGTACAATTTCACAAATGTATCGCTAAATATGATGTTCTTTAAATCTTTCTTTATTTTTATTTTAGGCGTCTAGACTGCCTGAGCATGAACGAGAAGGTAAAGCACATAATTTCGGAGTGACAACAAACAATCTTTATTTTTTGTAAAGATACAATAATGAAGCTGCCATCTTTTACAATCTTTTGACGATCGACATGCTAGTTGGTTAATAGTTTGGTCCAGTGTTAAAAGGTTGAATATCGTACTAAAGCTTTAACAGCTCTTTCCATAGACATAGTAGACTTCAGATTGGTTTTGCTATTCATTTTCAACCCCCTCGGCCTTTTGGGATCACCATGCCTTTCTGATACATTTTTGGATGCACAAACATTCTGATGAAGGTCATTCAAGAAATGATCATCTATCGACCTATCGAGGAAAAATTTAAAGTAATAATTTTCAGTACTGAAACTATGTCTACAAGGGGGATATTCCCGAGACTTATTGTATTGAATCTGTAGTAGTGAATCTTGAACACGCTTTATTTATTTTGCATGCTTTACTTGAATTACTTTCATTAACAACGACGAAGGCAAACTGTTTTGAAGGTCGAAGACGTTTAAATTCATTTGGAGCAATATATCAAAAGTGGCTTCATAGAATAGACTTAACCTCCTGTGGTCAACTTTTGTGGAGCGGAACAGAAAAGATACCAACGGGGTAATCAAACGTCTTAAGCTAGGAAGGACGAAAGAACACTCAATGACTAAAAGAAAACAAAACAACAACTGAAAAAAAACTGCACAAAAATAAAGATTGGGCAAGTTTATCGGTAATACTAGTAAATCACATTCGACGATAAGACATACGTATGGAAAGGAGAATATGACTTAAGTTGGCCATTCCGTGACCACTAAGTTTATTTCCGGTTTTGGCAGGGTTCGTTTTGTTCAATCTTTAGTTTGCTATGTGGTCCGCCTATTTTTACCATGGCGTTGTATGCCTTCCCTAGCCTTATGGTACTTGATAGCTGCCATCTTTTCTTTCATTAAATACAGGCTCCACACGCGGTCGCATGTCCATATTGTGTTCTTGCTAAGTATATTATTGGCATGTTTAGGGTCATCTTCAAATTCACATTCATTTAACTAAAGTTCATAGGTTTGCACTTTTAGTACTACTGACTTGGTTGATGACGTATTCTACAGAAATAAAAATATAGTAATCTCTTACATATATTCTGTAAGTCTTGCCAAATACAGCCAACTTGAAGGTACTATATTCCTGGGGTAGAAAATAATTTCAGTAATTCGAACAACATGACATATCATTGATATGGTCATATTTATGACTTAACTGTTACAGTTAAGTCATAAATATGACCACATCAACGATATGTCATGTCAACACAGAAGTGCTGACTACTGGAAACAACTGTCGTACACTTGGTAGGTTAAGCTAGCTATAAAAACACGTGTAACCCGCCATGTTCTTCTGAAAATGTCTGTACTAAGTCGGGAATATGCCTTCTGTTGGTTGATATGGTCGAGCGTTTGATTTTTTTCGAGGTTTTGTAGACTTCCCCTTTTTTAAATTTACCTTGGAGTTCGGTATTTTTGTTAATACTTTTTCACGAAGGGCAAAATCTCTTTAAATGAACATAATTGAAACTATTGGCGATTGCCTGACATCATCGGGATTTAATACAAACACTGTTAGTTTGAAGCATCCCCTTTAGATGTTAGTTTGAAACCTACCCGTTAGATTCTTCTCTTCAGAATGGTTTACCATACATGTTGACTGTATATTTTAATAGTAACGGCCATGATCATAAAATAGAAATATGAATACATGTGTTAATGAATTCAATTTATTTCATTAAGCATTCCTTATGTTCCAGATATCAGAAGTACGTTTGAATTATTCGATGCTGATAAATCAGGAGCACTCTCGCGAGAGGAAATCGCTAAAGTTGTTAGGAATACAGGTTGTAATCCGACAGAAAAAGAACTAGAGGAAATGTTTAAAGCAATCGATACTGATGGTTTGTATTTTCACTTAACCTCAGCTATAAAAATAGGAAAGATTAATTCTACCATGCAGGCCAGGATTGTCTTTTAACAACCGTCCCAATTATATTTTATAAGTTATCTTGCTATAAACTTTATAGTATTATCAAAATACATTTTTTTGATAGATTCTGTCTTGCACGATTAACTAATTTAAATAATTTCTCAAAATCGTGTGGAAACTCTCCATGAAGACTGAATGTGTTGAAAAAATTTGTTCCAACATTTGAACATCCTTGGCATTCAAATTTTCGGCGTTACTGGTGAAGATAAATCCAGAAAAGCGTTTGGACGCTTATAAAGAGTTCTTTTTCCGTTTTTTTAAACTATCTATTATTTAAAACAGATTAAATCTTGCAGGTAGTTTCGTATAACATCATAGGACTTATACCAGTAGAAGTGGGGTTTACCTGCTCATATTTGCTGTATCAGATAGATATCATATTGATTTTTGAAAGAGTTGAACATTTTATAATGTTAAAAAAAAAACGAGACAAAAGTAACGAAAAATAAATATTAAATAACTAAAAGAAAGTTGCAAAGATTTCAACGGCACAAATCGGCCTTCAGCAGAGAGTTCAAACAAGCACCGTATTGCAATAAGAATTATAATTTTGTAAAAGCACCATTTCCATATTGTAGGCTATGGCGAAGTTCAGTTTAATCAGTTTTTGGAGTACTACGCTAAGCATTTTTATGATCCTCTACGAAACGAAGAACAAGAAACACGAGAAGCCTTCTCAATGTTCGACCTAAATGGTGATGGTTATATAGATCTACACGAGCTTAAAACAGTAATGACCGCGATGGGAGATGAAAAAATGTCGGAAGCAGATTTCCGAGAAATGATAAAAGAGGCTGATGTTGATTTTGATGGTAAAGTAGATTATACAGGTCAGTTTTATATGAATTTAAGATAGGGTACCGATGATTAGTTGCAATTCATAGACAACGATAGGAGTGAGAACAACCAAAATCGTTTGATCTTCAATCGTGGCAAGATCAAGTGGGTCAGCAGGGTAAGCACACCCTGGTAGACATGCATTGTGTTCTAGAAATCAAATTTCTGATGCACTATAGACAGTAGCAGTTTTTCTTTAATGTTTTTTCTAGTTTTACTTGAAGTCAAAACATAGAAGAAAAAAATCTTCTTTTTTTTAATGTTATACTAAAAAAAAACACTTTGAAAAAATCGCTAAAACTAATAGAAAAGATTTTTATAATGGGATCTACTTCAGCTTTCTATTTCATAGTACACAGGTAGCAAAATTAGTAACAACTCATTATGGCCTACAATTTTTATAATGAAGGAATGTACCTGTTATAAAAATTAAAATAACAAATGTTAAAACAAAATGAATACTCATGAAATGTATGGAAAAAATTCTTTCCTTTTTTATAAACGTGGTAAACAGGTTTAAGTAAATAAAGAAAAGTACAAACGAAGTCAATTCGATCATGTTTTAATTTGCTTTCCTCAATTGTATCAATCAAGGAAACAGTGATATAAAAAAGAAACTAACTGTTGGAAAAAGACACTTACCGTGTCTAATAACTGATATATACGATGCTGACCGGTAATTTCTATCATGTTTAAAGCTGTATGACTCCTACGTTGAAAGTTGTTGAAGCTAGTCAAAAGCATCGTTTTTTATCGCAACACATATTTCTGTGTTCAAAAGTTACTTGTTTTGGATTTTTGGACTCTATCTTCATCGAAATTGTTAAACAGTTTAAAACAAAATTATTTACTAACAATATTGACTGCTGTACCCAATTTTTGACATTTTTACCCATTATTTCTGTTTGTTTTGCTCACACATTTTTGTCAATATAATGGAATTATATGCGACTGTCATACAAATGAGAGGTTTAGCTAGCTATAAAACCAGGTTTAATCCACCATTTTCTACATAAGAAAATGCCTATACCAAGTCAGGAATATGACAGTTGTTTTCAATTCGTTTGATGTGTTTGAGCTTTTTATTTTGCCATTTGAAAAGGGACTTTCCGTTTTGAATTTTCTTTGGAGTTCGGTATATTTTGTTATTTTACTTTTTGTTAGCAAGAACTTACCGTTCATTTAACGTTGTCCTAAGGGAGTGAACAAACTTGCATGATGAACGAAATAACCGGACTCGAGGGTATTTATGTTACATTTATAATACTGCATGGTATAATAACAATGTACTTTATATATATTAATCCGTATATATGCATATTATTCTTCATTAAAGTATTCCGTAGATACAAACTGTAAATTAATCATATGTAATTACGTTGGATATTAGAAGCAATGTAACTTTAATAGAAAAAATTCTGCAATAAAACTTTGTATTTTGTTATTACCTAACAGCTATTTGTATTTTTGTTATTGCAGAGTTTACTAGATTGATGAATAAGAAGTTCTGACATAGCGCTTCAACATGGATGATAGCATTTAAGAAAACATCTTTTGACAACTTTTTCATAAGCAGTGAATATATACAATAAAAATGCTTATTCATTTATAATTAGTCCATAATTTTTTTAAATTACAATTTAAAAAGAAAATTTCCTGGAATAACATGAGCAAGACACAACAGAGCGGAACATTTTCATGCTATTTTTGCTATTTTGTCATACTGCTATCAAGTTACCATAAAATTGAGAATGGAAATGGGGAATGAGTCAAAGAGACAACAACCCGACCACAGAACAGACAACAGCAGAAAGTCACCAATAGGTCTTCAATGCAGCGAGAAATTCCCGCACCCGGAGGCGTCCTTCAGCTGGCCCCTATACAAATATATATACTAGTTCAGTGATAATGAACGCCATACTAAACTCCAAATTGTACACAAGAAACTAAAATTAAAAATTATACAAGACTTACAAAGGCTAGAGGCTCCTGACTTGGGACAGGCGCAAAAATGCGGCGGGGTTAAACATGTTTGTGAGATCTCAACCCTCCCCCTATACCTCTAGCCAATGTAGAAAAGTAAACGCATAACAATACGCACATTAAAATTCAGTTCAAGAGAAGTCCGAGTCTGATGTCAGAAGATGTAACCAAAGAAAATAAACAAAATGACTATAATACATAAATAACAACAGACTTCAATTAAACTGATTGAAAGATTATGTCTTCATCATATGAATATCAGGCACAATCCTTCCCGTTAGGGGTTTAGTATCATACCATCATAACATATATGAGAAGAACATAACCCGTGTCATGCCAACAACTGGTTTTTAAATAAATGTGTTTAGTGCCGATGCAAAGACCCTATAAGTGAATCAATATTAACGCCAAAATATGCAATCTTTAATGACCATGACGGTATTCAAGGTCAAACTCTCCTCTCTCTTTTAAACGGTGTCAAATTTCTCCTATTTGCTCTTTTAACGGTAAACGAAATCCCGATGGTGTTATTCAACCTTTTCGCAGTTGTTTTAAAATTGGAAATTAAACTCATTCAGGCAACAAAGGTACATAGTATTTTTTTCACGTCATTGTCCTCATTTTTTTATGACCGTATGTATTGTTCAAACTTAAAATGACATAAGCTGCAAAATGCGTTACCACCGAATAGACTCAAACTCTTTAATTTGATTTATAGCAAACTATAATATTTACTAGAATCACAAACATTCCATAGGAAACAATAAACATTGCACGAAACCGTAATAAACTATCCTTATTTCGTGCATATATAAGGACTAGACGCCATCTTATTAACCATCGAGTCAAGACTGCCGACGGTCAAGCCCGAGATGCAAATAAATATAAATCGATAGACAAGCACGTGCAAAAGAGAGGCGAAAGATACCAAATGGATATTCAAACTCGTGAGTTGAAAAATAATTGACAACAGCATGGCAAAAAACAAATAAAATCAAAAGACAAACAACAGTATACTAAAAACAACATAGAAAACTAAATACCAAGTAACACGAACCCCACAAAAACCGGGGGTGATCTTGGGTGCTTAAGAATATCCAGCACTGACTACTGAACTGAGCATACCATCGCAATCCAGAAGCAACGATATTGACTCAGTGTTAGAGTTTATAAAATGAGTGCGCTTTTTCTGATTACACAAGTAAAATGCCAAAGTACTTCTTTAAACTTCTCTTTTTTTTGTATTTAAGGTACTTCATCTGTTACATATTTGTTTCAATGAAGGATGCATAAATACTTGAACACATGAGGTGCTATGTCCATCGTAGGTCAACTTTGCCTGAGACAGTTGGAACCTTAGTTTCATAATAACTTCTAAAATTCATCAAATCTGACATTGGCAGGCGTTTTGTTTTTGATGTGTCATATTTAATTTTTTTATTTTCTTTTGTCAATACTGTCGCTTTGATAAATTATACTTTTATTAAATTCTGGATATATCGAAAATGAGAATAAATATAGTTTGAAAAATAAGACAAACATAATGTCAAATCCAAAACATTCCAGAGCTTTAGCAATAACATGTCTAGAGAACCATATAAATGTGCAGCAAAATCCTTATTCAGAAGCTTCCAGTTGCCCTTCTAAAGGTAAACTATAAAAGGCCCCGTAATGACAATATGTTAAAAAAAAAAACGAGATAACCTACCGTCTGATTTATTATAAAACAATAAGCGAAAACAAATATGATAGACAGCAACCAAAGACAATTACTGGATTACAGGCTCCTGATATGTGACTGGTTCATGGGTAGTAGGCAAAGAGGAAATAACGCAAACTTAGTCTGCAACTCCTCATTATACAAATAAAAACAAAAGAAAACAAAGTTAAACACACAAAAATTCTAGGTAGGGCAGATTATGTGAACACAGCTTTATTCTTGTGAACTTGTCTCCATAAAAAAAAGTTTATCCAATTTAATATCCCAAATAATGTCAAAAGTCCATTTAAAGTAACCAAAACACTTACATTTGATCTACACTTCTTCATTGTTCATTTATTACTATACACTAAACTAACTGAATATCAGCACGACAAAAAGAAGTACACAGAGTTACAATTTCATGAACAATAACTCTTCTTGCCAAAAGTTTGTGAGGTCGTCAAACAAGTTTCATGAGAATAGAACAGTAACAGTTCCGATGCAGAGTACAGACAAAATGCATCATTTCAATAATGCTTATACCGAAGCACTGCATGACTACAGGGTGGATTGTCCAACAGCAATGGTGACGACCCAGAAATGGTAAAAGAGTATGAAAGGATTTGCATATATATAGGTATGTGTAGTGAAAAGTACAGGTTCCAGCCCCGGTCGGGTAGGAAGTAAAGAATCAGATCTACTGTAACATTGTTAGGTTGATTTTCTAGGCACTTTATAAATATTTTAACGCCTGGTATTTCTTAATCATAAGAAATCAGATGGATAAGGTATAATTTACAGTTGTCACTACAAATAGGCAGACATATATATATATGTATGCATGAGTTCGGATCTCGGCGAGGGAAGAACAAAAATTTGCTTCAGAAAATTTGCAGATTTAACATTGTTGTGCTGACATTTAGAGTAATTATGAATATAATATGTGTTGTCAGCCGTGTATCACCTTCACTGGTGGTCCAATTGATGGATCTGTCGTAGAGTTGTCACTTGTTTAGACGTTGTGCTGATATTTAGAGTAATTATGAATATAATATGTGTTGTCAGCCGTGTATCACCTTCACTGGTGATCCAATTGATGGATCTGTCGTAGAGTTGTCACTTGTTTAGACGTACTTATCAAAATAATTATTTCTGTGACTGTATCTTACGATCCTTTACGATAGATATTTAGCTAATCTGCAATCAATTCAATCTTCATGCCTAATATATCATGTACTGTGTTACAACTCTAGATTCTACTGACGAGGAAAGGTAACACTAGGCCACCGAAAGCTGAATTATTAGTTCAGTCTAGGTGACCGAGTGGTCTAGAGCGCTGGACACAGTGCAGGCGGTGTTGTCTCGATATCCCATGAGTTCGAATCCCGGCGAGGGAAGAACAAAAATTTGCTTGCGCAAATTTGCAGATTTAACATTGTTGTGCTGATATTTAGAGTAATTATATATATATATATATATACAAGTCTAAATTGAAAACAACGTTCAAACCTATGATTGCGTTGGATAAAAACCGCAATTTTTATACGTGTGCATGTAAAAAAAATTCTTGGTAGAGGGGTCTAAATACAGCACAAACAACATTTTCAAAATGACTAAAAAAGTGAAAAGTATATTTTAACAAATCGCATTTGACTAACAGGTCGAACAACTGATGTTCTTAAACCCTGCTGACTGCCATTGACGATTGCCAAATAAATTGATCACGAGATGTAACATAGATCTTAATTGTTAATTTAATACCAAACAGAAAACAATAAACTTGCGGAGAAGATGGTATACCGCAAACATGAGGTGCAGAAATTTTTACACCATATCCGGATTTCGACAATTAATGTCTCTTCAGTGATGTTAGGGGTCGAAATGGTATTTGGAAGGCCAAATAATTTACCTCAATTTAGGATAGACTCTTGGATTTTAAAGAGTCGAAATAGGATGAACGGATCATATAAACCCGAAGGAAAATATAATACAAGCCCAAACGAAAAAATATAAACAAGTCTAAATTGAAAACAACGTTCAAACCTATGATTCCGTTGGATAAAAACCGCATTTTTCATACGTGTGTATGTAAAACAATTTTCTTGGTAGAGGGGTCTAAATACAGCACAAACAGCATTTTCCAAATATATATAGTAAAAGCCCTATATAATCTCTAGCTTCGAGAGACTATGCAGAAAACATATCATAGAGTTGTCACCTCTTTACTTGATATCTTCATATATTATTGTATACTTCAAAGTTTGGTACACAGTTAGATATTTCAAATCAATATTGCTTTCTATGTCGATTCGGTAACAGATAGACAATAAAATCTTTTGTCAGGGCAAAACCAATGATATGTTTGACTGCTTATATCGGTCTTTTTTCAATTTAAATGATTTATTGTTTGATATTTACTGCGACAAATTTGAAAAAATGTCAAACTTTGAAGTTACATGTACCAGCTAAATCATGGTAAGTTAAGACTTTTACAGCTTTTATAATTTGTAAATTTCGCATAATTTCTCTTACTAACAGACCAGTTTCAATAGTTATGTTTTTTACAAGATAAAAACCTAGTAGTGAGTTAAACACATCTCCTTTTTTATAATATGAGAGAGATATACGTTTTACATTTGAATTACTTTTAGTGACTGTAATGACAATTTACCCTTTTTCTGCAAAAAAGTCTTCATCTTTTACAGGCAGGACTTTTAACAAAGGAAGAAGAAAGAGGTAAGATGAGTAAAACACACACCACTTGAAAAACACTATCAAAACGTCTATAATCCTATGAATCCTCAGTTGTTAGATTGAAAGATAATTTTGATGAGATAGCATTAGAAAAGAAATGAGGAACATACCAAAGGCGTATTAACACTCATAAGTCAAACACAAATTGACAACGCCATGGCAACATACGAAACACGACCAAAAGACAAACAACAGTCCTCAAAACACAACATAGAAAACTAAAGAATGAGCAACACGAACCCCACAATAAGTCTGTGCATTTTGTATCATTTTATACCTAGTAACATATCTTATTCTCTTTATAGAAATCAGAGAAACTTTCGCCTTGTTTGAAGCTGACGAAACTGGGAATCTATCAAGAGATGACGTAGCAAAAGTTGTACGTAGTACAGGTTGTAATCCTACAGAAAAAGAACTGTTAGATATGTTCCAGGCAATAGACTCCGATGGTATGGAAAGTAAGTAGAAAATAGACGTTTCGTAACTGCTCACTGTTTACCTATGTCATTATCTCTTATACATAGGCTCTGTAAGAAATGGATTGAGACTTTGTCATTTTTAAAATTATATGCAAATCCATACCTTATCAAAATACTTCAGATGTTTTCATTGAATACACGGTTAGATCCGATTAAAAAAATAAATTGTATCAGCAAAAATTAAATCATGTAAAACCAAAATCAATATAATATTGACATGTATGCCCTGTGTAGCGGAATGTCTATTCAGTTTGATAAAATCTTTAACTATTTGGTTAATTTCAAATAACTTGTCGAATTGTTAAGCAAAAGCAAAAAAATAAAATGAACACGACTTAAGAATTAAATGCTTCGATTTGAAATTTTGTTGAGTGTAAAAGAGTTCACTGAAAAAAACATTTTGTATTAAACATCATGTGCGCACGATCAACAGTCTTCAAGCTCTATAAAATTATAAAAGAGAAGCATTCATTTCTAATGATAAAATTTTAATGCTACAACCATGAAATTACGAGTTATTTCAAGCTTTTCATTTGTTTTCCTATGTTGTGATGTTGTCATTGGAAGCACTTGTAGAAATTAATGTTTCATTTCATTGTGAAATAAAATGTACTTTTGGACTGCCTTGCGATTGTTCCCTACTAATCAAATTGTCGGCTTCTAATTAAAGTTTAACATACATGCAATGTAATTATTCATGCTATCGTATTTTCGACTACATCGACTCTTTAGAACTTTGTTTTCATAGATGATTTTTGTTCTCGTTTGCTTTGAATATTTTTTTCATTTTAGGTGATGGCAAAATTGATATAAATGACTTTTTATTATATTATGCGAAAAAGTTGCATGACCCATCGAGAGATGAAGAGGAAGAAGCAAATGAAGCATTTAAACAGTTTGATCTGAAAGGAGATGGCTCTGTAGAATTGCATGAACTGAAAGACATTATGACAAGTCTTGGAGAAGAGAATTTTTCAGATGTGGAGTTTCGAAAAATAGTAAAAGAAGTTAAAGTAGACGGCGAGGGGAAAATATACTATCAAGGTAGAATAATTTTGCCTTATTAACAAGCAGTCTTATTTTCAATGAAAACAAAATACACTTTAATTTTTTCATACTGCCAACAATATTTTATTACCAGAGACTACTTTATCCTGTCCAAATGAAAATATTCAAATATTTAGATGACTCATATATTTCATTTTATTTATTTTGTAATGCACGTTCTTAAACATATATGACTATATTAAATTATCTAAGAAAAAAAAATCAAATCTTAGCCATTCCGTATTTTTCTAAATATTTTTTATTAATGGCAACCAATTTTCTTTTCACTTTTTTTATTTTCCTTCTCTATAAAATGATGTTCGGTTCGCACCTTCTTCGTCACTCAGTTGGTTCGATATGCGCTTATCAACAGTGATTCCTCAGATTTCAATGAATCATATATTTTCATTTCTACATTCTTCACGACAGGGATCTCAAGTACAGGGATTCATTGTGGAAAAATGATTCTACTTTAGGAATTTGATGTCAAATTCTTTACGATGATATATATTTTTTTACTTCTTATACTTTATTTTCATTTCTATTATTGTTTCCATCCGATACACGAGAATAATGCTACATTTCTGTGATAGCAGTTCAGTACTTTAGGTTTGTGTACTTCAACAGCCAACATTCTATGATACGACAGTATTAAGGATTGCTTGACATGTTGTCCATTATAACAGTATAATGAAGCTGCTTTTCTTAGCTGATTGTTATTTAGGATTGCTTGACATGTTGTCTATTATAACAGTATTATGAAGCTGCTTTTCTCAGCTGATTGTTATTTAGGATTGCTTGACATGTTGTCCATTATAACAGTATTATGAAGCTGCTTTTCTTAGCTGATTGTTATTTATGATTGCTTGACATGTTGTCCATTATAACAGTATTCTGAAGCTGCTTTTCTCAGCTGATTGTTATTTAGGATTGCTTGACATGTTGTCCATTATAACAGTATTCTGAAGCTGCTTTTCTCAGCTGATTGTTATTTAGGATTGCTTGACATGCTGTCTATTATAACAGTATTATGAAGCTGCTTTTCTCAGCTGATTGTTATTTAGGATTGCTTGACATGTTGTCCATTATAACAGTATTATGAAGCTGCTTTTCTTAGCTGATTGTTATTTAGGATTGCTTAACATGTTGTCCATTATAACAGTATTCTGAAGCTGCTTTTCTCAGCTGATTGTTATTTAGGATTGCTTGACATGTTGTCCATTATAACAGTATTCTGAAGCTGCTTTTCTCAGCTGATTGTTATTTAGGATTGCTTGACATGTTGTCCATTATAACAGTATTATGAAGCTGCTTTTCTTAGCTGATTGTTATTTAGGATTGCTTGACATGCTGTCCATTATAACAGTATTATGAAGCTACTTTTCTCAGCTGATTGTTATTTAGGATTGCTTGACATGTTGTCCATTATAACAGTATTATGGAGCTGCTTTTCTTAGCTGATTGTTATTTAGGATTGCTTGACATTTTGTCCATTATAACAGTATTATAAAGCTGCTTTTCTCAGCTGCTGTTATTTAGGATTGCTTGACATGTTGTCCATTATAATAGTATTATGAAGCTGCTTTTCTTAGCTGATTGTTATTTGGGATTGCTTGACATGTTGTCCAATATAACAGTATTATGAAGCTGCTTTTCTCAGCTAGTTGTTATTTAGGATTGCTTGACATGTTGTCCATTATAACAGTATTATGAAGCTGCTTTTCTTAGCTGATTGTTATTTATGATTGCTTGACATGTTGTCCATTATAACAGTATTATGAAGCTGCTTTTCTCTGCTGATTGTTATTTAGGATTGCTTGACATGTTGTCCATTATAACAGTATTATGAAGCTGCTTTTCTTAGCTGATTGTTATTTAGGATTGCTTGACATGTTGTCCGTTATAACAGTATTATGAAGCTGCTTTTCTTAGCTGATTGTTATATTTGTTAAATATAATTCTATGTTATTTCGAGGATCAAGAAAATGGGTTTAAGAACTGATAATTAGTTGACTCACTGCACATGTTCACGCGGTATCTTGCCAGAGGATATTTTCATATTTTGTTCTTTTTATAGTTTGATGTAGATGGTAGATGTTTGATATTCTATGTTTTTATTCAAAAATTTCAATGACTCAGGATATATTGAGACATTGTCGTATTTTTTAAACCCGTATGTAAACCCTAGCTGTCTTTTTCATCGATGGGTTATCATCTCATTGACCATAACCACTCTATTTTATTCATAGTGCACTTTTTAACCAGCGATTCTGTACTGAATTTCTATAGAGTTTTGCGACACAACTGACGTTTTCTTCTTTTGATTAATTCCATAGAAAATATAACCATATTGCCATCCTCAATGAACACGTTATTCACCAAGAAAATAATTTTAACACTGTTATTTTTCAGCTTTTACGAAAATGATGAATGAAAAGCAGTAGATTGATTGACAGAAAAACTTTCACAGTATGTGTTAAAAGTCGTGCATTTAAAGAATTTTTTTAAAAACGTTTATAAATAATAATAATAATGTATTTTGAATAATTGTCAATTTATGAATGAATTTAAGACATTTATATTTAACCAATTGTTTCCATTTATGTGTTACCTAAATGAAAGGAGTATTTATTCACTCCATAGTATGTATATATTAAGTGTGATGTTGCAAAGGTGAAACAAAGATGTACTACTTTTCTGTATTATTAACTATTGTTTTGCTTGTGCTTTTTTGTTATTATTATCAATTATACCATTATTATAGAATTAAGTGAGGTTTCCTGTACTGAATATGAAATAAATGAGTTCCTGAAAGACAGCTTAACCCCGCAACATGTTAACGTGTCCGGCTGTCCTTGAGGTTGCCTTTTATTATATGTTAATGTTTTCTCCTTTATTTGTTCGGGGGTTAGTTTTAATGGCAGATCTTTGACATGTCTTTGTTGTATAATTTGCAATATTTTTAGACTTGGGGCGATACAGAGCTCGATATATTGTATTATAAACCGTGTATTGACCTCTAATTATTTTGGATTTGTGAGTCGTTAGTTTTGCTGTCTTGTTGACGTTTACCCAAATATACTTTCATTCATATAAATACAGTTTACATAAATACTCTTCTGTCTGAACTATTTGTTTTAAAGTTTTATTAATAAGACAGCAGTTCACAAATTACTTTGTGAGAAAGGGTGTCTGTGTGCTCATCCCGTACCCAATTTATAAAATTGTTGATTCTGGGAGTTAAATACAGTTTACCATATTCCGATATTTTAAGTTGTTCGATAGAAATCAAGAAACATCAAAAGAAGCAGTTTACACAGAAAGGTATACTAAGCAGTCACCCATTGTATTTTTAAAAAATTTCAAGATTATAGGCAATAGTTTAAGAAATTGGTAAACATCGTCATTTAAGGACAATAACTCAGATAAGGAGTCGTCAGAAAGTTATGGTGTCGATGGACAGAAGGTAGAACTCAACATTCTGAACTTTTTGCCCCGGTGAGATTTTTTCTATCTATAGCGATTTTTAAAGGTATTAGTAATAGACAATACTTGCATTTTAGCCCTATGTTCTATTTTTAGGTCGTGTTGGCCAGGTAAGTTGGCAGGCGGGATCATCGGACACATATTTTAAACTAGATACTCCATAGTTGATAAAGGCCAAGATTGCTTCCAATTGGTCCCGTAGTTTCAAAGCATAATATTTTTGTAAAAGTTAACGGACGACGGACTCCAAGTGACGAGAAAGCTAACTTTACCCTTTGGTTCAAGTGAGCTAAAAAGAGATTTTTTTCATGGACTTATATTCTAGTTTACACTTTTAGAGAGTGGCTGTTGTTTAAAATGCACAGTAGTCCCCGTGAGCGTTTGTGGTAACGTTTTGCACAAACTACCTATGAAAAAAAAAATCAAATAACCTTTCAGTGTAAAAATTTATTAAAAAAAAAAGATTACAAATATCTTCTTTCAAAAACAAACATTCAGCAACAACAATAACAAAATGAATAACAAAAAGAACTTGCAGAATAATTGCGTATTTCTTCAAAATGAAGTCTACATGGCCTTAGTAGCACACATTTACGTGACATGCTCGCATACATCGTCTCTTCTGTTTGCAGCAGACCTCACTCATTTTGATCTCATTATTTTTATAAACTCTGTAAATAGAAAGAAACAATTATTATATCCATGCTGAATAATTGTAGCAACGTTTTACAGTATATGTACAGGTACTGATGGTTCTATATGATTTCAAGATTGAAGAAAACAATTGCACGTTGATACTGTACTTAAAGGTTTGCATTAAACCTCTGATATAAGTTTAAACATCCTCAAAATATATCCCTTTTCTGTTTACAGTTGCCAAACATTCATCCTGTTACAATGATACAACACTTAGAATCAATTTACCGGTAGCATGAACATTGATTAATGTGTGTAATTTAGAAAGGTTTGTGAAAGAAGTGACGAGCCACAGCACAGTGGGACTACTTGACTGGTCTCCCATTTTTCTCCTTCGGAGTTCCGATTTACCCTCGTTCATTTCCCTTCAATATTGGATTGTCCAAAAAATTTATTTTGCCATTGTATTCTCATCATATTGTTTTAAGATACTTGGACATTTAGATCATCATAACTTATGATTTATGTTCTAGCTCGCCTTTAGTCAAAGTAATAACTTTTTCATTTAATGCGACTGTGGTTAAGTGTTTTCAGAGAATATTTTTATTTACAAAATGTATACTAAAAGATAATTCACACACAACACGGTCCTTTTTGCAAGCTGAGCCTAACTTTAGTTTTGTGAAGTACTGCTCCGTGTGTTTACATTTTTTGTCCAGTATAAATCGGTGGATAGTAGTCAAAGCTAAATGATCCATATTCCCTTGAAATACATATGACCTCACGTATCAACATAAACATGTTCTTTCAAACGAAACCATTTCCTCATCTGAACAATGCGTTCACTATGTTTGCCAGTCCGAATAAGTAACAAATGTGTACAAACCTGCTAAAAGTAAATATTTTATTATAAAGCTTTATACAATGACTAAAGCTATGACAAACCTCACCTTCAACCCCAACTTTTCCGTTGCCGTCTTCATCTGCTTCCCGAACCATTTCATCGATTGTTTCTTCTGATATGTCCAATCCTAAAGACTTGATGACGTATCTCAGGTCAGCACATGTAATGAAATTGTTGTTGTCATGATCAAAAATGGTAAAAGCTTCCCGGAGTGTTTCATCGCTTTCTTCCGAATTGTTCCTCCGAATCATCATATTTATAAATTCGTCAAAATCTATAATTCCATTTCCTGGAAGACAATGGTGACCACAGATGAATGAATGTGAAAGCTGAATAAAGGCATTGCACCGTAAAGCAACGTCATTCAAATGACAATGATTTTTCAGTATATTTTATCCGCATAAAGAATGTGTTTATTACCTTTCCAGGCCTGGCCTGGAGAGAGCTTAAAATACAATAGTGATTATTTTTATCAGGTTTATCCCTATATTAGTAAAAGTATGTATAGTTTAGTAAAAATAATGTTGAACGAAATGCATTCTCACAGAGGATTGGTTTTGGAACCTTAAGCTTAAATGTAATTTGTTTGTGCAATATGATTTATGTAATTCTTAGTTTTATTTCTTTTGTTTATGTTGTACATAATGTTGTTTTGTCTTTTATGTAAGCTGTCTTATTTTATAAAATACCATTTTTTAACTCGGATAATGACATATGAATATTTTTAACTTGTTTGTATATATTCATTGCATATGCTGTTAGACACATTTAGTGGATACCCCGTCCGTCCGCAGGTATCCCCGTTGTAAATGGGTAGTTTCTAAAATGTTTATGTAACATCACAGTAACCAAATTGCACACATATAGCAAAAATAGCAACGGAACCTTACAAGTTTTCTTAGAGAGTAAACAACTTGTATTTTTATGATTTGACATTATGCACGTCTTTCAACATAACTGAATATATCTAAATATACACAAAACGTTCACAGTATATATCAACCGATGAAGTATTCACTTCAAAGTCACCTTTTAAAAATGAGCAATTAAAATATGTCACAGGCCTCAATTTATTAAAAAATGGATAGTAAGAATGGACGATTTTCAAATTGTTTTAAGTAATTGAAGAAATAAAACGAAACATCAGTTATTCGATATTTACGGCTGATGCATGGATGCAATTTGGGTACTCCTCATTACAGAATCATAGGTCGTTTGAAGGTTGGTTCAAACCCATTTTTCTATGATTCAATATGGATTCAAAAATAAATTTTTAGAACTATATAGTAAATAAGGATAAATCTACAAAACAAACACAGAATGGAAACTTTTGTCATGATCATAAATAAACAAAGGTGAAAAAACTGTCAAAATAGGCCCGTGCAATTTGGGTACCCTCACGTTATATATTCAGTATGATGTGTAATAATGTCATTGTATGAACCGATGGAGAAATCTGTTTTATATACAATGTATAGATATTAACTATCTACATACATCCTCAACAGTTAATACACTTCGTTTGAGCCCAACAACCTGCTGGGCCAAAATTCAGACGAAGTATACATATATCATTAATACATATAAAAATTAGGAGATGTGGTATGGTTGCCAATGAAAAAATAATCTACGGTAACCATTGATCAGAGGACGAATGCATCCACTACATTATCATAATACACATTTATATGGACCAGATCGTAAAAATAAAAAGGCTACGGGGTATACATCACTAAACAAAAGAGGTGTTTTCCATAATATAGAATGCTTCTTGTTTTAGAAGAAGTATGGTGTTATTCTAATTTATTGTACATAGTATACCATCAAGATCAGCTTCACGTATCATCTCAATCAATTCCTCGTTTGTGGGATTCTGACCAAGTGCTCTCAACACAGATTTAAGTTCCCATGTTGATATTACCCCATCACCGTTTGCATCAAACAGTCCGAATGCTTCTTTATATGCTGCAACAAAAACAGATGGAAAAATGATACTGGACACAAATATATTAATGTGCATACATTACTTTCGGCAGTGTATAATATGATTATGTTCTCCTCTATTACACAACAGTCACGTATTTATCCCCTAAATTTTTCAATCAAATTGATTAAGTTTGTACACATTTCTGATTCATTTTACTGTTTCTATGAGTCGATCCCATTCGATTTCAAAATATTTTAATTTAAATCTTCCACTTTTGAAATTTTGATTAATTTTAGGGCAATATCAACAATTTAAAATAATTTAATAAAATCATGGCACTCGCTTTGCTTCAATTAATTTCAATTTGCTTATTGTAAAATTGAGAATGGAAATGGGGAATATGTCAAAGAGACAACAATCCGACCATAGAGCAGACAACAGCCGAAGGCCACCAATGGGTCTTCAATGCAGCGAGAAACTCCCGCACCGGAGGCGTCCTTCAGCTGGCCCCTAAACAAATATGTATACTAGTTCAGTGATAATGGACGTCATACTAAACTCCAAATTATACACATGAAACTAAAATTAAAAATGATACAAGACTAACAAAGGCCAGAGGCTCCTGACTTGGGACAGGCACAAAAAAGCGGCGGGGTTAAACATGTTTTTTGAGATCTCAACCCTCCCCCTATACCTCAAGCCAATGTAGAAAAAAACAAACGTACAACAGTACGCACAGTAAAACTCAGTATAAGAGAAGTCCGAGTCCGATGTCAGAATAGGAAACAAAAGAAAATAAACAAAATGACAATAATACATAAATAACAACAGACTACTAGCAGTTACTGACATGCCAGCTCCAGACATCAATTAAACTGATTGAAAGATTATGTCTTCATCATATGAATATCAGGCATGATACACATCATATGTGTTTGTTTGTTGTTGATTTAATAATGTTTGTATACACTACTACTTGACCTCTTGATGTTTTTTGTATCGTTGTTTGAATACACTACTACTTGACCTCTTGATGTGTTTTGTATCGTTGGGTTGCTGTCTCATTGACGTTTTACTTAATCAACTTAAGTCCATACATGTCTTCATGAGTTTTCACATCAAACTGCAATTTATATGTAGTTTTATACGATAACATAAACGGTACCATATTTCTGCACCAGATGCACATTTCGACAATCAATGTCTATTCAGTGATACTCGAGGCCAAAATATTTTAAAATTCAAAGCTTATTAAAAAGATGATTATATGAGTGGTGTCTTGGTATATTTATGGCGGTTTAACGCTACTTCATTTCACATCATCTCTGTCGTAGCGATTCAATGAATGTTTTACCGAGGATTGCATTATGTGGTACTACGTAGTGTAACAATTTTTTGTCTGTATCAACTTATTCACTTACCTTCAAGTTCTTCTCTGGACAGTTCACTAGCCTGAAAATCAAAGTATTGAATTGAAAAAAATATAGACAAAATTTGAGAACAGCGTGTTAATTTAAACTTAAGCACTGTGTTTATGCAGTTTTCCAGATGTTCCTATAGGTCTTAATTTGAAAGTCAAGACAGTACTTCAAAAGCTGATTGTCTGAAGGTTTAATGCAGGCACATAGTACCGTTTTGGTGTAATTACTTGCCAGACACTTAAGGGTCTTTTTCTGTGTTTTTTTTTGTCGAAGTTGTTGACCGCTATCTAGCGATATATTGTTCTTAATGGGACGGGATTGCTTCCCTCGAGTTAAAGATATTTAGAATCAAGGAACCTCTGTGTTTCAAGTCAGCGCTGTAACCTACTGAGTTACGTCTGATTAGTTAGTAGCTTCTACTCAAGGAAAGTATTCCTCTTAACATAGTCATTACTAAAAGTACATTAAGTAAACATTAATCTTAAACTGTTTCTAAAAAAGTAGGAATTTCTTATACATCCAAAGTATAAAGAGCCAAACTAGTGCTGCATGATGGTAAAAAGAGCATTAGTATCCTGATATTTTGATGTACTCTGGAAGATATATCAGTATGAAAAAATCAGAATTTTACATCAACTTAAAGTACTACGGCTTGACTTCAAGATCTCTGTAAATCTAAAAAATGTCTTTAACAGTTTTGAGTAAAACTGACGGAGTGAACCTTAAAGTCTTTAACAGTTGTCTGTGAAACTAGCGGAGTTAACCTCAAAGTCTTTAACAGTTGTCAGTGAAACTAGCGGAGTTAACCTAAAGTCTTTAACAGTTGTCAGTGAAACTAGCGGAGTTAACCTTAAAGTCTTTAAAAGTTTTCAGTGAAACTAGCGGAGTTAACCTTAAAGTCTTTAACGGTTTTCAGTGAAACTGGCGGAGTTAACCTTGGCATTCACTGATACGTAAATCAATAACTATTGTCATATTCCCCAGTAAATGGACGGGCATGCGTACATTCTACCCTACTATGTCCTTCTTCCGAAATATAAAAATATGCTTTGTTCATGCTGATGATGTGCTTTAAAGTTTGCATTTAATTGTATTAAAAGTATAGTGGCCGACCGATAAAAAAATACGAGATGTGGTAGGATTGCCAACGAAAAATTTTTATTAAGGACATGGGTATAAGCAACGACAGGTCACCCACCGTACGGCCTTAACCAAAGAGCAAAACCAATACCATATAGTAAGCTATAAAAACCCCGACATGACAAATGTAAAACAATTCAAACGATGAAACCAACGGCCTGGTTTATGATAAAACAACAAAGGAAAATAGTTCTTTTTTAAGTTTGCTTTTAATTCCAGTTGGTTTAAATATTAATGAAATCAAGGCCAGTAAACATAGAGATTACTAGAAAGTAAAAATCCTTATTGCATATTCTTCATGTTTTGCTCACAGATATTGAGTTTACATTATATGGTAGTCCGAGATTGCTCAAACGTGCAATGGCCTGTTTTGGGAATTGTAGGTACATGGGACCCAACCAGTCCCGAAAACAGGACGTCAGAGTAATTTTGGTCTAGATTTTGATTGTATAATTATGGATAGTTACACAGCAAATGCACATTTTGGTTATATAGCCCATTTTTCCTAATGCAGCTATGCATCTTTGTCACTCCCAACGATTTTTTTAAAACTATCTAAACGTTTCTGGTTAATAGCGAACGAATAAAATTCGGTTTATTACACTGTGATTCGTAATTATTATAGTTATTGATAACTTTATCAGTCCTAACTTTTAAATTGCACATGTACAAATATCGTAAATCATCTGAGCATTCAATTTCACCTTTTCAAATAGTAACTGATAAATCATGTATACATCATGAGACATTTATAATTTTCGTATAGATACAATGTTGTGAGTAATTTATTAAATGATGATGCATGACTGTAAATATTTCAATAACCTTTTAAAAGCACTATTGGGGAACCATTCAATTTAATAACTTTATTTGAAAAACTTTATCATCTTAAAATGTTTTAGATCTACACAGTAAATAGTGAATAAAATATATATCCTGGAACTAGATGATATGGGAAAACCTTACACAAGCTCATATGACACGAGCCTGAGAGATAAACTAAAGATAAAGATGCTGGTCGCTGTTGTATATACTAAATTGTTCTTCACAACAACGGATAAAGAACAAATGCATAACCGGTAAATTCTTACCCCATATCCCTTGTTTTTCTATCATATGTTGGCAATACAAAAATGTCTCATAATAGATATTGAATCTACTGCATAAGATCTTCTCTTTTGGACCAGTATATCAAATCAAATCATTTTATTTCCTGATTAAAGGGGCCCTAAGGGCATATCAATTACAAACAAAAAATAATAAAAAAGACAAACATGTATACATTCATTTTAGACAAAACATTCATTAAACAGTATATATTGTTTGATACAAAAAAATATTTTTTTTGAAAAAAGAAACCACGATACTTAATAGAACAACAAAAACAAAGGTCAATTTTTCCTGAGGTAGTCATATAAAAATGATACCAAGTTAATTCATTTTATTTTACCTTTTTCTAAACCGTGTTCCGGTATTTTTATTTGGGCATATATTTCATCGTTTTCTTATTAGGAGATTTCGGTGTTGATGACAGTTTAATTTATATACAATTCTTATGGAATCAGGACGAATAAGAGTTTGGCATATTGTATAGACACTTGTCTAATGTTGAAGATTGTATGCTGCCTTCTAAGTGTCATTTGGTCATTTTTGTTGTTTGGTTGTTGTCTCAATGACTTTTACTCGATATCTCCTTACATACATATATGTTATATATTAAACTGCAAGTCAAAGGTTTATAAGTACTCGTTACACATGTAATCAGAGATCTCTCATTTTTTAAGAGCAACAAATTCTAATTCAACATCTATACAGATATACTATTCGTTCTTGCATTTGAGGAAAAAAGAAAAAAAATATACCGTTTTGACTAATTGGATACTTTTATTTTAATAACTCAACAGTCTGTTGAAAAAATATCGCAATATATACTTTTTTTTTTAAATTTCAATATATTAAAGACTTATTAAAGACTTACCATCTTGTTCACATGCTCCTACGATAGACGAAGATTTTAACAGATAATGTTTACATACATTTAAATACTAGTTTCAAACATGTAAATTCATGCACAAGTATTTAATAATTATATACTTCGATCAACACGAATGCTTCGATCAACAATAGCACTTCATTCAGGCCAATTAATCAATTACCTATCTTGAGAACTGAAAGTTTGTGTAAATTAAAAAAAAGTCTACCTGATTGAATAATTGACATAAAAGATTAGTTACACTGAGACTTGTAATTTTAAGACCATATTAATACTGTCTTGATGACCTTAGTATACTTTATTTCAATAATTGCCATTTAAATTTTTAAAAAGACCTCCTTTCATTTTTGTAAGCTAGTTCGGAATTTCATATCAATGCTTCATATACTGCTTGATATAATAAGATTTGCACATTGATTATGTTGTCAATTACATAAAAATGTTTTGATTGACAGAATTAACAAAATAAACACCATGTGTTACTTTCGTAGGCTTATACTATGTATTCTCACCGGTATAATATTTGTTGAAATCATCTTTTTTATAAATTCATCAAAATCTATTATTCCATTTCCTGGAAAAAAAAATAAAAGTAAGAAACACTGATAAACAATATATAATAACTGAAATGAATAAAAATTCGCAAGGGTTCCGCGGAACCCAGTGTCTCGCCTACTTTTGTTGTTAGTCGCAGGCTCAACAAAAATCGGGAAATAATTATTAAAAATTTTCCTCTAGATACTAGCTCTTGAATGTAAGAAGCTTCTGTTCAAGTTTGGTAAGAATCCAGGATGGTTTATGAATCGAATAAATGTTTTAAAAACTTTAACTGCAGACTGTATGTCATGTTAACTGGAAGAAAAACTAAGTCCATTTATAAGTAATATAAACACAGGATTTTTTTTTTTTACAAAATTTCCTTCTCGATACTAGCTTTTGATCATAAACAAGCTTCTGTCCAAGTTTGGTACAAATCCAGGATAGTTTAAGAAAGTTATTAAAATTTGAAAAACTTTAACCACAGAGTGAATGTAATGTTAACTGGCAGAAAAACTAAGTCCATTTATAAGTAAAATACGGATAAACAGGATTTTTTTTTAACAAAATTTACTTTTGAATACTATCTTATATGATCATTAACAAGCTTATGTCCCAGTTTGGAAGAAATCCAGGATAGTTTAAGAAAGTTATTAAAATTTGAAAAACTTTAACCACAGAGTGAATATTTGTGGACACAGTCGACGACGACGACGACGGAATATAGGATCGCTATGTCTCGCTTTTGCGACAAAAGTCGAAGGCTCGACAAAAATGAATTGCTTTCGAAACTACCGAACTGACAGTTTTGTTTACATACACATGAGTTCATTAGTTTGGGGGTACATGAACAAATTGTGTTGCGGTTCCTCTACCGTAAGTCATTAATTAAATTAAGCTATTATAGGAAACGTTTTTTTCTGATTTAACATTCGCAAGGAACGCTAATGCCCAAGTGGATATACCAAACCAAATCAGACATGAAAAGAAGCCAAAATCGTCTACGTTTAACTTTGCAAATCAGAATTGGGCAGTTTTCTTATAACAAGTATGTTTCCCCTTTTTCTTTCTTGCAATCTCTCCATACAACTAAAAAAACCAGCCGCTTATAGAGAGGGAGAAGAAAGAGAGAAACACAGACAGTGTTTTGAAGTTTAAACAGATATTTAGACAAAACCTTAAATGTATATCAATGTATTTCTGCAAAGATAGGATACCATTATGTCTAGAATGAATTATACTAAAGCAAGTGAAAAGAAGGAATCCTCTGAAATGAGCGCCTCTCAGGTTCAAACTAAACATCCATACCAAAGTATAACAACATATATAATCGATATATAATTATGTACATTTTCAAAATAAAGTTACATAATTATAATTAATCTTTTATTTGAATGTCATAAAATTTTGATATAAGATTCCTTTTTTCATATTGTATATACATGTATTCTTCTTCATTGTCAGTCAACATGGCACACGCTTACCATCTAAATCAGCTTCCTGAATCATTCCATGCAATTTCTCGTTTGTTATGATATTTTGTCCAAGTGAACTCAATACAGACTTCAGTTCCCATGTATTTATAACACAGTTGTCGGTTACATCAAATAATCCAAAGGCTTTATGAGCTGTAACGAAGATAATCATCATGAAATAAAGTATTCTCAGGTCCAGAGTATACTAGTGTCGAAACAGTTATATATAATTTACACTGGTTTAGGTATAAACTATATAACAAATATGAGTAAAAGAACTTTTATTGTCCAACAATTAATCTTTCACAGTAAAATCTGACTACAACTAGTTTCATTAATCTCATAAATTAATTCCTTACAATTTCGACTTATTTTAAAGCTGCAGTTAATTTGTTTAATTTAACTTACGCTGTTTGACCTATTTATATAAGTGCTCTTTAAAATGTTTTAGCAGCCATCATGTCCCCTACAGCGACGAATGAAGAAACACATTGGTACTATGCGCGTTGAGCGCTTTTCTGGGTTTAACTTCACCAGGAAAGGTCAAACCCAAAATTTTGAAAGCCGGGAATGTATTGATATATAAAACAGTCAAAACATACGAAGGTCAATTTGGTTAGGGGACTTAAAACCATAGTTTCCAAACCATTTATAAATTTACCAACGGGAAATTTAAGAAATTTATTTTTCAGTGGCGAACCACAGACCAATGAGCTGATGCTACCCTCGGGACTAACAGTCAACCAGGACCACACATCGGTATCCATCCAGTCATAGAAAATTGTTAAAAGATCACCAACATTTCTGATTAATTCTATGAAACTGTCAAGGCTTAATGTTGAAAAATCTACTTTTCAAAATATAGGAACGCAACGTTAACTCATTTTCTTAAAATTGTTGACTAATTGTTATACAGTGACAGTGTACTTTTACTAATCACAAAGTTGTAATACCTTACCGTATCTATTTTTAATAACTCAAAGCAATTAAGATCCACAGCTGATTAAATGCAGAAAAGGTCCTTTGAATTCCCTTCAATGGAAAAAGTAGGTGAAGCAAACTCAAAAGGCATTACTTGAAGAAATACTTCTGGAAAAAGAAGATCAAGCCTGACTTTCTCCGATTTCGCGAGGCATTATTAAGAAAAGGAAGGAAAGGAGGTTTCGATCTTAAATACCACCGAAATTGATTACTTCTTTTTGAGGACATACACTTTTGACCAAAAGGTGCATTGATGTTAAAAATAATGTTATTTTATAATTTCATTCAATGCGTTTTACTGAGCTAGAACAGTTCAATCTAACTTTGGTCCAACTTTTTAAATAGATCTCAATCGACAACACACCCGTGTTGGCTGACATTATGCTATGATAAAACGGACCCTATAATCCTTTTATGGTGACCAAATGACCAAATAAACATTGTGTTGAAAATTGGAATATCATAGCCTTCCATGCCAATTTAAAGTAGCAGTAATTTGTCAGTTTTTTTTCTAGAAGAATTATATTATAAAATATATTTAAATTATACGAATCAATTCATTTCATATACCGCTATATTGTGTTAGATTATTCTGTCATATTTTAAAGAAAATCTGTCTAAAATGCTCAGAGTCAAGTTATAGTTCAATAGAACATTAAAACAAATTATTAACATTGTCAACCAAACGTAGACTGGGGTAAAGTAACATGGCAACCTGGAATTCTCTCATCCAGCAGTGAACTCATGCTAAATCGGAGCACCCCATTGGCTGTACAGGATGTATAGATACATAGACACAATCGGTCGGAATGCGGACGTTCAATCCAATTCCTCTCAATTCCCAGACCTTCATCTCGGTAAACCCACTTTGCCGAACATGCCTATCGCATTAATTGTTTTTTTTTTTTAATTTTTTTATTTTCCTAAATACGCATGAAAAGATTTGCAACTTGACATAGAACTAAGGCTAACTGAAAAGAGCAAACATCAAAATCTATGAATCGAATCTTGCTAAATGCCGAAGTATTAGATAATAGCCAGATGAGGCCCTCGTGAACTTGCATCACACTAGTTTATGTAGCTGTGAATCAAATTAAATACTAATTTGCGTTTAAGCCATGATAAGAAGAGTAATAGCCAAAGATTTGGAAAACAGTGTTAATCCTAAAGAGTTTCATTGATCATGTAGCCAATGCTTTGGCACTGACACGATTAAACGAAACATGTTGATGTCAATAATCCAGTATCACATCATGTTAGTATTAAGGTTACAACCCTATACTAAAATTCAAAGCACAACACAATATCCCTTGCGAAATGGACAAGATATTATTTTACTATTTTACAGGCTGACACTGACTTTCCAATCATTTATCCCCTCAACAATTAAACTTTGGAATAATCTGAACATGTCAGTTCAAAATGTAGATTCATTATCAAAATTCAAAGTAGAATTAAAAAACCACGGCATTTGAAATCAGAATCAATCTCAAAATTATTTATATGGTCCTAGAAAATTGAATATAATCTTAACCCAATTTAGATGTTCTCAGCATCTTTCTTGAATTGTGACTTGTTTAGAGCTAACATTATATCTGATTCAACATGTAAATGTGGTTTGGATATTGAGGACATGCGACATTTTTTCTTTGATTGTCCTTTCTATTTAAATGAAAAGGCTATTCTGTTTAATAGTCTCAGCTGGCTTCCCGAAGGCTGCAATTTGGACTTAAAACTATTGGTGTTTGGAAAAGAAACTCTTTCCTATGATCAAAATATGCAAATTGTTAGACAAGTAAGAGATCAAAACGATTCCTCGTAGTATAATATCAACATATAGGTAAAACGCACATCATCATTATCCTGATCTCTGTCGTTCTTTCTTCACCCCCTTTCCTTCTTTCAGTATAGTTTATTAGTAATATTTATGTTGTTTATTTTATATAATGCATGCTCACATTCAATTTGTATTGTTATATATATTGTATTGTGAAGAAGAATTTATAAGTATGTTTTACTTGTGTCTGATCCTTTTTGCTTTGAGCAAATAAAATATGTTTAAACTAAACCATATACTAGATTGTTTTGCATTTTCTGCTAATTTTCATTTTGTTTTTAACATTAACAAAGGAGAGATTGTTACTTGATCTTGATCTTATGTTCATGTTCCTGCCTTCAGGTTAAGATTTCAGGATGACGTATGTTCCTACTTACCAATATATAATCGGTCAACAATATTGGCTACATAAGTATATGTATTGTTTGCGATGTGTCAGTGTCCGTTTGATATATAATAGGTGGACTTTGACTCAATTTCACGCTCCAGTGAACAGGGTTTTTCAGAATAACCTCTGTTCTGTGATAACTAAAGATTGATTCTTTTAAAATAAATTAAAACATAGCTAATTATGTCTTGTTGGGTTTTTTCCGTTACGAAAGTGCATGGTCATACATCCTGTATATCTATATATATATATCTTTATTCTCACAAACCAAATTACAAAGGTATAGAGATAATAATACATATTTCAATACAATTACATAAATAAATAATGTACGAAAGTAGATAGAGGCATTTACAATTGTTCATCCAGAAAAGTTCAATTTGTTATTGATCTCCTTAATGAGTTTACACAGCTCATTCAGTTCTGAATATGTTTTGGAATTCATTAAGTCATGCAACTTCAACGTGGTAGGTCTATTCCTATAATGAAATGTAATAAATTGTTTTCTACAGTTATGAAAAGCTGAACAATTAAAAATGTAATGGTATTCATCACCAATGGCATCTAAATTACACAATACACACTTTCTGTTTTCTCTTTCTAAGTTTTGCCATCTTCCAGTGTCGATGCAATGTACTAGCATTTTGGCATTGCACACGGTCATGCTGTTTTTCGATTGTTTATAGCGTCTTTACACTAAATCTGTGGATGCATATACTGATTGATATATAAGTCTTATAGAACAGGATTTATTTTTGTTAGTTAAAACTGACTTTTAACAATCTTTCAGTAATTGCGAGTACTCATAGATCGGTAATTTTTTCTTTTGACTTTTTGTTAGTTGGTTTGTTTGTGCTTCGTGCCAATCTAATGAGTCGAGCCATTTTCAACTGAGCGCTCAAAAACCATGTTTAACCCCACCACATTCTTTATGTACCTGCCCGAAGTCAGGAGCCTTTTATTTAGTGGTTATCGTTGGTTTCTGTCTGTTTTATTTATTTTCGTTTATTTTGTTACCAATAATCATGCCTTTGGATTTTTTCTCATTTGAATTGATTCACATTTTGTGATGTCGGGTCCTTTTTTAGCTGACTATAGAGTATTGGTTTCGCTCATTATTGAAGTTTGTGACATATAGTTTCTTACATCCACGCAATTGTTTAATTGGTCGATCTAATATCTTGATTTAATAATTCCACAAATTTGGCAAAAATAATTTGCTTACTTATCTTCACATAAAGCATTAAACTTGTTTGTATTTTCCATCTGGTTTTACTTTTGCCAAAAGTGTCTTCGATAGCAAAAAAAAAAAGAGGCGGACAATACCAAACGGCGGACAATCAAAGTGTATAAGTCGAAGAGAAACCAACAACACTATGGCAAAAAATTGCAGGTTTGCTGTTTTTTTTCATAATTGCCAAGTACTTTTCTCTTCTCGTTCTCTTCGGTCAGTTCTCGTCAAATTTAAGGCAATCAAAAGTTTTAAGGAAAATAGGAGGGAGTTCTACTTCACCAAAGACCATCAAAATATGTCAAAATTTTGTATACATGTTAACACAACCAAAACACTTTGACAAGGATAACTTTGATCGTTTAAAAGAGCCTCTGTGTGGATGCACATTTGAAATAAACATACGAATAATATTGAAATAGATGCAGATAAAATATAGATTTCAGACAAACAAAATTGTAATTAGGACCCAATAGTACAAAAATTTTCGAGAAGAATTGACAATGTCAAAGGCTTAAAAAGACAGTTTTATCTTGCAAGACATTTTATATTTTATACATGAGAACGAACATCTATATCAGAAACATTCAAAACGCGGTATATGTGTGTCCTAGCTATTCTATCAAAATCGAATCTATGCAGTATATTCATGTATAAATATATCATCTGACTGTCAAATATACAATGTGTTTTAGCAGTTAAAATGTATATCCTCTAGGTAAGATTCTTTTACTTTTTACATATCATCTAACTATCTGTCTAACAAAATCTGAAAAAGAGAAAAACATAAAATAAAGGCTTAATTAAAATTCAAATCCCAATCTTTTGTTGTCGTTAAAATCTGTGATCTGTAGCTGTTTAAAGATGAGATACATATTATCACAAGAAAATGTGGTATATATTGAAATTTTCAGATATAATACATAACCGGGAAATGTTAGCAGCTTGAAGGCTAAACAGTTATTATCACTCCCTTCAATTAAACCATGGAAGGACAAGTTCGCATCACACACAACGTGTATAAGGGATAAATTGGATAGGGAAAAAAGGTGGATTTATAAAAATCCTTTCTTTCAAGAAACCAATCTGCTTAATAATATGTCAAAATTTTGTAAAAGAAAAAAAATTTGTATGTTTATATCTGCATTGTTCTACGATCTTTCATTTGCAATATTCATCACAGATCAATTAAGTATCGAAGTCATACAGAATATTTGCGTTGTGTACACACATATAAATGAAAACAAATTATTCGTAAGATTTCAGAATTTTTTTTAAACACTCCAGAAAACGTATTTTCCTACGATCATCAACGATCTTTATTGAAATGTACATGAGGTAGAGTAAACGTGTACTACAGTGTATTTACAAATCATACGACTATATGTAACATTGGTTTGAAATATGTTCTTTTATTTTATTCATTCACGAATGATATATTAAGCTTTAATGTATATTAAAAAATTAACATTAACCAAATCTTGAAGTCGTTCTAATTCTTCATTAAGTTTTCAATATGATATCACGAGTACTTAATATTAAATCTATCTTCTACAAGCTACACATTTAGGAAATACTATCATTATAACATAACCATGCAAATTTATTGCATTAACAGATAAAATATAAATAATGAGATGTGGTACAATTTATGCTAAAAACAATGAACATAAAACGAATATGGCACACAGCAACAAACGGCAACCACTGAATTACAGGATTCTGACTTGGCACAAGATCATAAACTATGTGGCGGGGTTACTATAAAAAACAACTAAACTGGGATAGTGGTACAACACAACAAAGGAACAAATTGTAAAAATCAATTGGAAATGACTGGACTTATTAGATTGGCACGAATGGCACGAAGCACAAACAAAAATTAAGTACCAATCTAAGAGTACTCGCAGTTACTGAAAACTAGTTCAAAGCAAATTACAACTTATAAATAAATCATGGCATGATGTTTAATATGTTTACTGGACAATCCTTCCCTAACCTGTGACAGTGGTGTAACAGCACAACATAAGAACAAATTATGAAAATCAGTTGAAAAAGGCTTGACTTATTAGATCTTCACTAAGCATACTTAAACCCTAACAAAATGCAAAAGTATCGATCTAAAAGACTTTTCAAAAGCTTGTTAAAAGTCATTTCCAACTAGTAATTGTCACTTCACAATCGGCTCATTTACAGAATAGATCACTATTCTTGATATATCTAAGACAGGATCTAAGGCAGACACATATTATCGATCAAACAATTTGTTACATATATGGCTAGAAATGTGTCCTAAAATCAACATGTCAGAATTTGTAACTGCTACAGGAGAATGGTTTCACTGGTGACAACAGTAACATTCACCATTTTAAGTTTTTTATATATGTAAGGTACAGAGTTTGGTTACATTCTCTTTTTACAAGCGTTTTTTTTTCTCACTTTGAATTAAAATCTAGAAATTTCTGAGTTACAATGGTTACATTCACTTTCAATATTTTTTTGAAGTATTATTATTCATAAAGTTAATACAGGCTTCAATCTTCAGTTACACAGTAACAATACACCTTATCGCTATTTGTCCGCCATTACTGGACATCACACAAGTTCCCGTAAAATTTTGACGTCATAATAGAAAATATCTGACGCCACAATGGAAAAGTGATTGTTGTATGACGTCAAAAGTTCGAGCGGGACTGATTCTCGGGTCAAGCGGGATTAGCGATAAGGTGTATGGTTACACTATACATGTAGTAACACTGGTTTATACTTTAAATTAGATTCTGGAAATTTCTGAGTTACAATGGTTACATAGGTTACAATGGTTACTTTATACAATAGTTACATAGGTTACAATGGTAACATTGGTAACAATGGTTACATTCACTTTTGCACCTTTTGTCATTCTCAAGACCAGTTACACGGTTACAATGGTTACACTATATTAACACTAGGTGAATGGTTTTTGAGAATGAAACCTGTAACCCATGTTACCATTGTAATACTTGAAACCCATGTAACCATTGTAACCCATGTAACAATTGTCACCCATTTTACCATTGTAACCCATGTTACCAGTGTAACCAATGTAACCCATGTAACCATTGTTACCATTGTAACCAGTGTAACCATTTTAACCCATGTAATCATTGTAACCCATGTTACCTTTGTAACCCGTATAACCATTGTAACCCATGTTACCATTGTAACCCATGTTACCATTGTTTCCCATGTTACCATTGTAATCATTGTAACCCATGTTACCATTGTAACCCATGTAACCATTGTAACCCATGTAACCATTGTAACCAATGTAACCCATGTTACCAGTGTAACCAATGTAACCCATGTAACCATTGTTACCATTGTAACCAGTGTAACCATTTTAACCCATGTAATCATTGTAGCCCATGTAACCATTGTAGCCCATGTAACCCATGTAACCAGTGTAACAAATGTTACCTTTGTAACCCATGTTACCATTGTTACCCATGTTACCATTGTAATCATTGTAACCCATGTTACCATTGTAACCCATGTAACCATTGTAACCCATGTAACCAATGTTACCATTGTAATCATTGTAACCCATGTTACCATTGTAACCAATGTAACCATTGTAACCCATGTTACCATTGTAACCCATGTTACCAGTGTAACCAATGTAACCCATGTAACCATTGTTACCATTGTAACCAGTGTACCCATTGTAACCTATGTAACCATTGTAGCCCATGTAACCATTGTAGCCCATGTAACCCATGTAACCAGTGTAACCAATGTTACATTTGTAACCCATGTTACCATTGTTACCCATGTTACCATTGTAATCATTGTAACCCATGTTACCATTGTAATCATTGTAACCCATGTTACCATTGTAACCCATGTAACCATTGTAACCCATGTAACCATTGTAACCCATGTTACCAGTGTAACCAATGTAACCCATGTAACCATTGTTACCATTGTAACCAGTGTAAGCATTTTAACCCATGTAATCATTGTAACCCATGTTACCTTTGTAACCCATATAACCATTGTAACCCAAGTTACCATTGTAACCCATGTTACCAGTGTAACCAATGTAACCATTGTAACCCATGAAACCATTGTTACCATTGTAACCAGTGTAACCCATGTTACCTTTGTAACCCATGTTATCATGTTTATCATTGTAACCCATGTTACCATTGTAATACCTGAAACCCATGTAACCATTGTAACCCATGTTACTATTGAAACCCATGTAACCATTGTAACCCATGTAACCATTGTAACCCTTGTAACCATTGTAACCCATATAACCATTGTAACCCATGTTACCATTGAAACCCATGTTACCATTAAAACCCATGTTACCATTGTAACCCATGTAACCATTGTAGCCCATGTAACCCATGTAACCATTGTAACCAATGTTACCTTTGTAACCCATGTTACCATTGTTACCCATGTTACCATTGTAATCATTGTAACCCATGTTACCATTGTAACCCATGTAACCATTGTAACCCATGTAACCAATGTTACCATTGTAATCATTGTAACCCATGTTACCATTGTAACCAATGTAACCATTGTAACCCATGTTACCATTGTAACCCATGTTACCAGTGTAACCAATGTAACCCATGTAACCATTGTTACCATTGTAACCAGTGTACCCATTGTAACCTATGTAACTATTGTAGCCCATGTAACCATTGTAGCCCATGTAACCCATGTAACCAGTGTAACCAATGTTACATTTGTAACCCATGTTACCATTGTTACCCATGTTACCATTGTAATCATTGTAACCCATGTTACCATTGTAATCATTGTAACCCGAGTTACCATTGTAACCCATGTAACCATTGTAACCCATGTAACCATTGTAACCCATGTTACCAGTGTAACCAATGTAACCCATGTAACCATTGTTACCATTGTAACCAGTGTAAGCATTTTAACTCATGTAATCATTGTAACCCATGTTACCTTTGTAACCCATATAACCATTGTAACCCAAGTTACCATTGTAACCCATGTTACCAGTGTAACCAATGTAACCCATGTAACCATTGTTACCATTGTAACCAGTGTAAGCATTTTAACCCATGTAATCATTGTAACCCATGTTACCTTTGTAACCCATATAACCATTGTAACCCAAGTTACCATTGTAACCCATGTTACCAGTGTAACCAATGTAACCATTGTAACCCATGAAACCATTGTTACCATTGTAACCAGTGTAACCCATGTTACCTTTGTAACCCATGTTATCATGTTTATCATTGTAACCCATGTTACCATTGTAATACCTGAAACCCATGTAACCATTGTAACCCATGTTACTATTGAAACCCATGTAACCATTGTAACCCATGTAACCATTGTAACCCTTGTAACCATTGTAACCCATATAACCATTGTAACCCATGTTACCATTGTAACCCATGTTACTATTGTAACCCATGTTACCATTTTAACCCATGTTACCAGTGCAACCCATGTAACCATTGTAATCCATGTTACCATTGTATTCATTGTAACCCATGTTACCATTGTAACCATATACCATTGTAACCCATGTATAGCATTTGCTTTAAAAAAGTTTTTTATAATAAATGATAAAAGTAAATTTAACATTTTCAACCAATGCAACCATTGTAACTCAGCATTTGCTTGGTTCTCATTTGTTACCTATTGTAACCATTCTCATGTAGGGGTTACAAATGCTGATGTGTTGTTTTTAGGACACATTTTTGAACATATCTAATTTGTTATCGTGACCGTAAAACTTGTGTAACATCGGTTTCAGTCGTTCTTCATCGTAACACGTGAAATAAATGTTGCGTTAGGAACACACTCATGTTACACATTAGTTTTATCTAGTGACCTTACACATTAGTTCTATCTAGTGACCTTACAAAAATGAACGATAAATACGCGAAATGACATGCATCCTGCAATGGCATAACATGTAACGACATGGACTTAGCCAAACTTAGTATTTACAGAAGATTAAATCAATATTTACTTTAAAAAAAACACCTTTAAAAGAGTTTGTATATTTTTTTGTACACTTACCTTCATATTTGATATTACCATCCTTATCAATTTTAGCTTCCTTTAACAGTTCGTCTATTTCCTCATCTGGCATTTCTTCTTCCATTGAAGAAAATATATGGCGAACAACTTCAGTGTCAACAACACCTTTTCCTCTGACATCAAATACCCGGAATGCATCTATCAACTTTTTAGAGAAAGCTTCTTCTTTTGACCTGTTAACCATTACAGACATAAACTCTTGTATACCTATTATTCCTTTACCTGAAAGTAGGTAAACATTTTAGAATGAAAATAAAATAACTAGGAAAATTATATGCATTGTTATTCATTGAAAGCATGGCTTCTTTGGAGTAATAAAGTTTTTGTGATTAACTAAAACATATTATTTGGAATTGCATGTCATCTAACAACACGCAGTTGGAAAAGATTTCATTTCTATAATTTTAAATTTTAGATTAGAAAAAATGTTCTGATAAAATGCATTCTGTTCACAAAGCATAATAAGTCGTCTCCATAATTTTCTAAAAGTTTGTACTTTGTATTGCATTTTGTAAGTATAATACATGTTATTTTTTCATATATTCCATCGATCAGTTCTGATTCTGTATTATTCTAAAAAAATCACTGGTACCTGCAATCAACAAAAATTGTATATGAATAGGAGAGATTACACCATTTTTTAGATCTCATGAATTAGAAAATAAAAAAAATAAGTTTTATAAATCTAATACTAAGTAAATATTATAATATTTATTTATCAAAGTCATAACAACTATAGGCATACAACATATAAACTACACAAATAGCAGAAGGTAGTGTGAAACATATTACAACATGTCAGATCTTAATTTTTTGTGCACGAAATATGAATTTACATAGCTCTCTAAGATTAATAGAACTCATTAATTATATATATTTATACATAGAAGGTTTTCCAATAATAAGGTGAAATAAAATAAGATCTAAGACTTTGATAAGTAGGACATTTTAGAATGAAATGTATCTCATCCTCAATGTCATCTTTACAAAAACAACAGGGTCTATTACTTCTAGAAATTACAGAGTAACGTTCACATTCTATAGCTAAATTATGACTACTAAGTCTTATTTTGGTAATACATGTCTTATAAACTACTGATGTTGGTTTACATAAGTCATATTGCAAACATATTTTTAAACCATATATGTATAACTTGAACATCTAACTAAATTACTCAATCGGCTGTCAAAATCTTGCTTCAGACAATCAAGCATGCGCTGTTAGATTAACATCCTCGGATATTCATAGGACATTTTAAAATGCAAATTGCCCAAAAAAACTGTTGGAATTAAAATGAAAAGAAATACAGTTTTTGTATGACCAACCTTCAAAATCAACCTCGTTCATGATATCAACAAGTTCATCTTTTGGTACGTTGTATCCTAGCGATTTCATTAGTGTTCCTATCTCTCTTGTAAGAATAACCCCTTCTCCACCACGATCATAGATAGAAAAGGCATGTTTAATAGCTGAAATTCATTCATAATATTTAAGAGAAAATTCAGACACAAAAAGTCTTAGACACAAGAACACACATATATATACACACATGCATCGAAACACGACAAATAAGAAGTTGCACACATATGCATATAGATAGTGCCTATTTTAACTAGAATATAGTTTTTAAATATGTGAAAAGTTTGCAGTTAGTATAAGCTAGTTCAAACTGTAACGTATTTAAAATCTAATGGTTCTGATATCACACTTCCAAAATTACTATATATCCCTTTTTTTTACACGAGATCAGAATTCAGCTAGGATTTCATTGTAGCAAAAAAATTACACCATGTACAGGGCAGCGTCTTTAGAACTTGTTGTGGTTTAAAAAAAAAAAACTACAAATTTATTTTCTTTATGACTGATTGGTATATTACAGCTGGATTTTTCAACAATAAAGGGCCCATATCCGGCAATAAATTCCATGCTATACCGAAGAAGAATGTCCGTTTTGGCTGTGCGGGAGGTACAAATAGGCCGCAGCCACGTCCGGTCGGTATAGGGACACTCAAAATGGAAATTCAAAATCTCTGCCCCAATTCAACATAACCTCATTTACCATTGCATGTCAGTCTAAATTCCCTAGCTCCATTCCGGTCCATCAGCTCTCCAGATTTATTGTTTATATGTATGTAAAATATTTGCAATATGGCGCAAATCCAACAAAAGTCAATCAATCAATCAACAGTTTTACGTTCGAAATCAATTCCCAAAGACAAACCCTTGTGTAGCTTACAAGGTGAAGGCTTTTCTTGTAAAAATTCGATGAACAATAAAAGGGTGTGAATTTATATGATCACACAAAACTGTCCCAATCGTTCAAATCTTAAGCCTGAAAGACCCGTTGTGGGTTTTAAAAAATCATGATACTATTAAATATAAATATGTTTTACTGTGACTTGAATGCAAGTGTTGCTCTCAACATATTGCACTTCTTTCAACATTCTGACCAAATTGCCATTTGTTTAATTAAACCAAACTGTTCAACTGGGCAATTTCATTGCTATTATGAAAGTGTAGCTATAAATTTCTTATCATCTAATTGTTATTGTAAAGGTGCATTCCAAAGATGATAGGTATTGAATTTTGAATTGCTGAATAAATGTCAAAATTTAAGTTTTTGAATTATTTCTTCTTAAATGGTGTTTTTCTATGCATGTTACAAAGCTTTCTTTAAATTACCGGGTAACATCTAAAACACTTGGTGACATACATTTTAAGCTTGAATATGTTCTCATGAAGTTTTAAAGATCATTATTTCAAAAAAGGGGTCAATGGTTTTAGATAATCTCCCATGGAAACTTATTAACAACATATTGTAACCACATATATTTTAGTGAATATAACAGGTTTTAATTTAAAACTGATGGCTGATTCTTATGAAAATAAAAGACGTTTTAAAAGAAAAATTGTATTAAAGCTAAGTTTTGACATTTTTATAGCAATTAAAAAATGACTACCTATCTCCTTTAAATGACTGTTTATAATAACAATGATGTATATAGAAGTTTTTAGCAATATTTTCATCATAGTAATAAGGTCTGGTTAAAGAGATATATCGAATATAATAGTTTTAAAACAAGTCTTACAGGATTGTATTTTGAATTGCTGAATAAATGTCAAAATTTAAGTTTTTGAATTATTTCTTCTTAAATGGTGTTTTTCTATGCATGTTACAAAGCTTTCTTTAAATTACCGGGTAACATCTAAAACACTTGGTGAAATACATTTTAAGCTTGAATATGTTCTCATGAAGTTTTAAAGATCAACATTTCAAAAAAGGGGTCAATGGTTTTAGATAATCTCCCATGGAAACTTATTAACATCATATTGTAACCACATATATTTAAGCATGCTTTAAATTATCACCTTATCACCTTGCATTTTGATGACTTGACTCAGGGATTTCTACAGCGTTTGGCTAAAATTTCTGACCAGTTGAACAGTTTGGTTGAGAAAAAAGATTGCAATTTGGTCAGAATTTTTAATGAACTGCAATAGGTGGGTAGCAACACTTGCAGTCAAGAAACAGTAAAAATTTCGGTCATTAGTTTTAGACTGTATTTTAAATTAGGTTAGTAGGCTTACCTGCTATCTGTTCTTCAGAAAGCCCATGTTCTGCCTACAAAGTATTTTGAATTATTTTTTAAGTTTTTTTTTAAACCAGACAATACAACGGGTGTCACGCAAATAGAAAAAAAAATGCTAACCTTCCCTCAGCACATAATTCAGTTCATTGATTAATCACAGAATAAAACAAATATTCAAAAAGTGACAGAACCAAACAACAAAATTCTGTGGTACGCGCAATAGGGAGTTATCAGTGTTTTTCGGTCACATGTGAAATTATCTGTTTTTATTTGAATGATAGTAATAGTATTTCAGAGGCGGATTTAGGGGGGAAAGGGGGGGGGCAGGGGGTCCGGCCCCCCGTTTTGTGGGAAAAATTTGGTTGATTATATAGGGAATAACTGAAGCATGACTGGAGTGGGCCCCCTCTTAGGCAGTCAGTGGGCCCCAACTTATGAAAATTTCTGGATCCGCCACTGTATTTCATTGCAACCAATTTCGCTGAAATATGCTAATGAATATTTCTGGTCACAAAGCTAACCGCGAAGTGAGGCTTAAACCATGTATGCATATAATCGGTTCCGGATATAGTTTTTTTGTAAATGTATATATGGTTTGTGTTCGTTGACAGATATTTTCCGTGGTTGTATGTTTGCAAATTGTGTTTAAATGTGGTTTTTTTTACATATTTTGTTTGAATAATCTATATAAAGAGATAGGGTAAAAATAAGTAAAAAAAACATATCAAAAACTGACTTTGGAAAACTATATTTTTCTTACCATGTTATAGTATTTATTCCATACCGGACTAGGGTTTCACGTCCTTGGTACATAAATGACATCTAGATTGTTTCAAAGATAAAACTATTCATTGCTAACCACCATGCAATTATCTTTCCCGAACAACAATGTAATTTTGTCAATGCTTCATAAAGACGATTTATGTCTTAATTGATCAAATGTGCATTATTAAAGTAAACAATACAGGTCCTTTTTATCTCAGTTCTTTAATGTTGGCCTTTGTATAAATAGTGGTGCATTGAAAGAACTAAAAAACACGTAAGTAGTCAATAAAATCAATCTTTGAACAAAAAGGAAATCGAAAGGAATGAAAACGTAGTATTTAACAATTAAAGACCTTCATTTGTTAATAAATTATACGTTGTAATTTTAAATTAAAATGAGAATAGAAAGTGGGGAAAATATATGAAAATACATTTGTCACAAGTCTTGTTAGGTTAAACACTTTTAATTGTCAAAGCAAGAAAAAAAATGATAATGGATAGGTCGGCAAGTTTTAACTTACGAGGTCTTGTCTAAAATGCCTGGTTGTGCATTGACTTATTTCATATTTTTTTATATATATACTTCTATTTATAGTGGCTGGCAAACTTTTCAAAGACTAACAAGATAAGCTGAATAAATGCCATCTATATACTTTAAACTAGATTGGTCATTAAAGATGAACAATCATTTCATTTAAAAGATTAAACTGAAGATAGACACGATAAGATTTTCATTTTTTAAAGGAATTAACTGAATGTTTTGATGTAATGAACACAATATTGAAAGCTTCAACACTACAAACAAATGTTTAATCCCATAGTATAATTCTTACACATTATTTAAGAAAAACTTTAAGGTTTAGAGTATATATACGTTGTCTCTGTTGATTGTAAGCCCCTATCCTAATTCGAAAATATTTGACAGGACATTCGTTCAACATTGATAAGAAAATAAAGTTGTCCTTTATTATTATTTTGATTATTTTGAAATGAACCAGGAACCATGATGAAAAGCTTTCTTTTAAATATACATAAAACGGTGAAATATAATGGTTCTATTATTTTCAAAGTTTAGAGAAAGACCGATCAGGCAAACTTGTTAGAATTCCCAGATATATCTACTCTGTAAAAATACTCATCAGACAACTCCTAATAGGAGAGATTGCTAACGATTTTTTTAGTACATCATTTTAGTCTATTAACTTGAAAACTATTATAGATAGAGAGAAATAGGGATCAGCAAAAATTATCAGTTATTCAAGATCTACAAAATAATCAATAGGAACGACACTATTACTCTGATTTTACTTTCATACTAAATCTTAACCTCCTTCTATTGTGGTTCATTCGAAGCTGTGACTCAATTGCAATGTATTTTATTGATTCGAAAATGTGTAACTTGTCAGAAATGTTAATAACTGTTGTGGAATATCTTAAATTCTAATAGGTTTGATTACCACTACATCGTTACTATTACTACTACGGGAACTTTAACTACCTTGACTCCTCATGAGGGTCTCGCATGGTCGGCTCGTTACTAATACTAGGGGTGGGTTAATGACCTTGACTACAAATGAGGACCTCACACGGTTGACAGTGCTTGTTACTATTATATAACAATTTCTAATCATATTTATTGTAAAGTCAGTTGAAAGTTATGGTAGATTTTTTTTTTAATTGCTGTAAAAAATGTCTTACTTAAATTTTTAAATTATGTCTTCTAAAATGTCATTTTTCTTTACATGTTAAAGAGTTATCTTTAATTTAAAATGTAAAATACTCAAGCGAAATATACTTGCAGCTAAGATAAAAAAAAATTATGTTTTCATGAAGTTTATGAGGTGTTAAAGGAAGATTAGACTGTCCAATCACGATTCCATATAAAAAGGATGATATTGACAACATATTGCATATTCACATACATGTATAACAACCTTTAATTCAAATTGATGTCAATTTCTTATAAATATAGAAGACATTTTAAAAGGAATAGTATAAAAAATTAGACTTGACAATTATATAGGAATTAAACAAGACTTCCTTTCATTGAACAATCAATGCTCCTATACTTGAATGGATTAAATGATCGTTTTTATATACTATCTATGCTCCTGTACTGGCATGGAATATATGATACATTTTTTACACATCAAAGCTCATGTACTGGCATGGATTGAATGATTGTTTTATCCATACTATCAATGCTCGTATAGGGGGAGGGTTGAGATCTCACAAAACATGTTTAACCCCGCCGCATTTTTGCGCCTGTCCCAAGTCAGGAGCCTCTGGCCTTTGCTGGTCTTGTAGGTTTTTTAATTTTGGTTCATTTATATGTTTTGGAGTTTAGTATGACGTCCATTTTCACTGAACTAGTACATATTTTTATTTAAGGGCCAGCTGAAGCCCCCCTCCGGGTGCGGGATTTTCTCGCCGTGTTGAAGACCCATTGGTGGCCTTGGGCTGTTTTCTGCTCTTTGGTCAGGTTGTTGTCTCTTTGACATATTCCCCATTTCCATTCTCAATTTTATCATGTACTGGCATAGATTACATGATCTTTTTTTTCATAACGATGCTTCTGTACGGTATTAGATTAAATGATCTTTTTTTGCTCCTGTACTGAAATGGGTTGAATGATCGTTTTTATACTATCAATGCGCCTATACTGGAATGGATTAAAAGATACATTTTTTAATATCAATGCTCCTGATCGCTTTTTTATACTGGCAATGCTCCTGTACTGGATTGGATTAAATAATATATTTTCTTATACTATCAATGCTTCTGAACTGGCATGGATTAAATGATCGTTTTTTTTTATACTTCTATCAATGCTCCTGTACTGGCATGGATTAAATGATACGTTTTTTTCCTACTACAATGTATCAATGCTCATGTACTGGCATAGATGAAATGAGCGTTTTTTGCTCCTGTACTGACATAGATTAAATGATCGTTTTTTATACTATTAACGCTCCTGTACTGGCATGGATTAAATGAAATGTATTTTTTACACTATCAATGCTCCTGTACTAGCATGGATTAATGATGGTTTTTCTATACTATCAATGCCCCTGTACTGGTGTGGTTTAAATGGTACATTTTTTTATTAGCACTGGGACACGGTATATCTACCACTAGTGGTGAACTATCAGTGCCCATGGGTGCAATCCAGGAAGTAGCCAGTCCTCCTGCTTTGGTGTGGTTTATACAAATGATACATTTTTTTTCCTATCACTGTGTCAGTACTGCTGGTGGAGGACTATATGTCCCCATGTGTACAATCCACACAGTAGCCAATGCCCCTGTACAGACATGGTTTAAATGATACATTTCATCTTTAAAAATTTCACTTTCATAAATTTGTAATTATACTAAAACTACCTCAGTCTAAATTGACCCAAGACAGTGTTGCCTCTTTTTAGATTTTATGCTTAATGTGGTTTTCAAAACTTTTTGTCTGAAGAGTAGATGAAGGCTAGGTAATTCCAAAAACATGGGTGGCACACATTGAATACAGAATTAGACTTTTGTTTTTTTATAACTTTCTCTTTATATTTTTTTTTCAATTTAAAATCAGGTGTTGATGTAAATGATTCAATCTTGTCTGATCTATTTCTGAAAAAACCTGTGTTGTCTATTTATTGTCTTCTAAATTATTACCATTGACATAAACTTCAGTGCGTTGGAGTTTGTCACTATAAAGTAGAAAGGGGAAGAGGTGGAAGTAGCTGACACATCATTTTATTCATATGCCTTTAATAATTCAGACATAACATAACTAATCTAAATCACAGCTAACAAACAACTACACCAACAATAACAATCAAATAACTCACAAATAATTACACAGTCAATAAATTAATCACAACAAATTGGTTCTGCTATTTTATAAAATCTTACTTCTCAATATTGCACTTGTTTGTATTTATTGCACATGAATAAAAGAATAAATTCTCATGGAAGGTAGACACCATTACAACTAAATCCTTGTCATGGGGTGCCATCTTGTATTTATTGCACATGATTATAAGAATAAATTCTTATGGAAGATAGACACGATTATAACTAATTTCTTGTCCCAGGATGCAATGTTGTATTTGTTGCATCTTTCAAAAGTCAGTTTCATATATTTTAAAAATTGGCAAATGTTAAGACAAAACCCAGAATTTGATTTAATTTTTCTGGGAAATGAATTTGTTCAAAACATTGATATTATTCTTTTGTTTAAAAAATACTGAAATTTCTGACCTCTTCATAAATACTGTAAATTCAGAAATTATTGCGAGGTTTTTATTAATGTGAAAAATGCAACCGGTTAAGTATTGCAATAATAAGAACTCACATTCTTATTTTCTTGAAATTGCAATAATTAATCTCGCATTTTTGTACATTCTCTTAAAATCGCAATTATAAATGCACGCAATAATTTCTGAATTTACAGTATGTGATTTTTTTTCAGGGGAGAGATAAATTTTGCAAAATTATTTACAATTCAGGAGGAAAAAATACTTTTTTTTTATGTTAACTTTTAAAAGGATGAGTTGTATCTTTAACAATCACTTGGACTGATATAATTGCTGTACATTTAAACAGTAATTACAATCTAAAGAAGAAACTTTTGATCCAAAACTTTACATCGAAAGGAGATAAATGTCATGCTTTACTTGTATGCCTTATATTGATGTTTAGATGTTTATTTCCAAATACAGATCTCACATTAAATAATATGTGAGTGTTAGATGATCTAGTGATAATAAATATGCCTCTTACACTTTGTAATATAATATATAAATTGATTTTCAACCTACATGATGGTTTGAATTTGCAGATTTCTTAAGTTTAGTAATACTATAGTATTGTACCAGCAGTAATTGTTTAACTTGAAATCTACACAGTTTGGCAATGATTTTTTAATAAATCCTTGTGTTCTTTCAGTACTGTTGGACTAATCTGTGAACAACTATTCAGAGGTAAGTAATAGATTATAACTTATATAATTTGAATTCACATTTGTCCATCTAAGATGTAAATATCAGTATAACAACAGACAATTTTTTTTCCAGATTTCCAATCCATCAGTTTGTACAAGCTCCTAAACTGTATAAAACTGTGTAGCAGCAGAAGACTGGATTTCATTCTGTCCCAGTTTGAATTGTATACGTTTCAGCCATGACAACAACACACTAGAGTTGAAAAGAGCCATATCATTGGATGGAGCAGGTGGTTCCCAGTTCTCAACAGACTGAAGTCTTACTTGTAAGTGGCCTGGTAACTGTTTGGACAAAAAATGGTTTAATCGTCAGTTTTATTGAAAGATAAATTTACATTAGAAATTTAATCATACATGTTTGATTCTGAAATAAACACATCAAGAATAAAATTGAGACTCTATGTAAACAATCTATTTTCCTTTAATAATTTCAGTAAGTAAATATGCTTCTGTTTGACCAATACGTATTTAAGGCAAACAAGTGAAACTGTGAGCTACTGCTCACTGATGATACCCCTGCCCAAATACTTGACGGTAAACAGGAAGTTGTTGAGTGATGACTCTGAAAACACATGACACGGAATAGCTGACTAATATAAAACCCTGAAACCAAATTTCAGAAATCCTTGTAGTGTAGTTCCTGAGAAAGATGCGACGAAAAATATTCATGGGACGGACAGACGGACTGACTGACGGATGTATGGATGGACGGACAGACAGAGGTAAAACAGTATACCCCCACTTTTTTAAAGCGGGGGTATCATTAGTTCGACCTTGCTCAAATTAGCAAAAGACACCTAGATTATGATAATTTGAAGGTCTCTGTGATGGTGTCTCGTTCAACCATACTTTTTTTTAATAGTATTTCATAGTCACATAAACTGTTTCGCCGAGCAATAAACTTTACTGCATCATTTGTCTTTATCATGTTTATTTCAACAACAAAAAAATTCCCCCATGTAAGAAAAAACTGCTTCGCTGAGCGCAGCTAGATACGCCCGCAGAGGTCCAACCCTGAACAGTTGGGGCAAAAATGGACACAATATTCAAGCTTGATTAAGGTCTGAATTTGGATTGTAATTAAATATTTGACAAATTATAGGTTTCTGAATAAATGTAGTCAAAGAACTTGAAATTGGTTATATGAACTGAATTTATATTCAATTAAAGATTTCTTGCTGTTGTGCAATAGTCCACAATACTTAGTAAATCTGTTGTCAGACTATAAACAAATAAAGTTCAATTAATTCTCAATGTCATATTAGAAATTTATGCAAATAAAAAGGGAGCTTACATCAATAGATATAAACAATTCACCAAAGTTTCATGAGAATTGGTGACAGCATTTTTGAGTTATTGTCCGAAAAACTGGAAAATCACCCCTTTTTTTAATGAATAAAACCCCACAACTCAGAAATGTAAAATGTAAAATTTATAAAATTCTAAAGGGAGCTTACATCAATACATACAAACAATTCACCAAAGTTTCATAAGAATTGCTGAAAGAATTTTTGAGTTTTTGTCCGAAAACTGGAAAATCTCCCCTTTTTTTATGAATAAAACCCTGTAACTCAGAAACGTATAATTCAAAATATATAAAAATCGAAAGGGAGCTCATGTCAATAGATATAAACAATTCACCACAATTTCTTGCAAGTTGGTGAAAGCATTCTTGACTTTTTGTCCGAAAACTGGAAAATCCCCCTTTTTTTCATGAATAAAACCCCATGACTCAGAAACGTAAAGTTTAAATTTTATAAAAAAACGAAAGGGAGCTCACGTCAATAGATATAAACAAGTCACCAAAGTTTTATGCAAATTGGTTAAAGCATTTTTGAGTTAATGTTCGACATGTTGATGACGGACAGACAGACAGACAGACCGACGGGCGGACAGAGGTATACCATAATACATCCCGTAAACGGGCGTATAAAAATAGTCATGTTTTTAATGCTTGATCGACACATCATTTGACCTAATATAAATGAACTGTTAATACAAAACTAACCTGTGAATGATAAGTGAATAAAATGGATGTCCACATTGGGAACAGCTGAAAAATATAGACAAATATACATTAGATTCAATAGGTTTAATAAAAACTAAATGTAAAAAATAAAAATGTATATTATCCTTCATTATGTTTTAATTTTCTATTTAAATCTCCAATTATTTTTTTTCAAATGATATAAGTATCTATAAATGTAATAAACTTTTCTACTTTCATATATCTATTTAAAAACAGTAAAACTACTGAAATGCTTATCATTATATTGTAAAAATGCAAAAGAAAGTCATTTTGCTATTTTAAATTAAAAAAACAAAAATATTGTAGGCCTACAGAACAGTATATGCTAAAATATTTAAAAAGAAAAACATTATGATAGCTAACAGAAAACAAAAAACTTACAAATAGACTTCTTTTGTTAAATACATTTTTTTCCATTCCTTTATTTTTAAAAAGAAAATTCAGAATACTGAAAAAGGTAAACATGTCTGTCCTGAAGATAAACCTTTTCTTTGGAACAATAAATTTTGATCAAAAAGTTTTAATAAATATAGCATTGTTACCTTAGCTAATACCGAAGAGTTGCATTCTCTTAAAGCTTCCATCAATCCTAAGAAATGTAGGTTCACTTTCTCAGAAAACTGTAAATCACAGAAATAAAAATACATTAAAATTCGAATTATTCTTTGAACATCTTGTTTTCATTATTAAGCAATCAAGGACCATAACCCTGAACAGCATCAGGGCAAATTGTTAATATCAAAACTTGAACTCCTTTTTGTCAACAGAAACAACACAACAACAAAAATTCAAAATTGGTTGAATAGCTCTGAAATTAATGTATGGAAACAACATGAATCACCATATATCAATACATCAAGGACCATAACTCCTGAAAGGCAAAATGAAAACTGCCAAAATCAAACTTGACCTCCAATTTGTTATGTTGAGAGAAATAACATAAAATTTGATAAAGATTGGTTGAACTGTTTTCAAGTTACCACACAGAAATGGTGAGGAGCTGCCTACTAACTATTTTCAATTAATCAAGGGCCCTATATTTTGCAAGGAACTTGACCTCCAATTTGTCATGACAAACAACAGATCAAAGTTTTTGCTATCTAAATTTATTGTACACTTTATACGAATATAAATATTTTTCAAGTTTTTTGTTTTAATCTAACAAAAGTCTCTTATAAAATTTGCATTGTTAGATATAGTTTGGTTCATGGCTTAAAAAATTTTATGCAATCTCTAAATATAGTTTGGTTCATGGCTTAAAATGTTATGTAATCTCTAAATAAGAAAGAAACCAAAATTAATCATGTAATATTGACAAATAAAATACAAGATTCAATAACATTTCTGCTAAAAATTATCCCTTTTGGTCTGCATTCAAATGAAAAGTTAAAGAGAAATTTAGAAGATATGTAAAGATCTTTGAAAAATATTCAAAAACAGAATTAAGTGGCCCTCTAAGATGTGTGACATCATTGAGTTAATCTATATAATGTAAGAAACCTACTGTATTTGAATTCAATCCAGTTTCTCAACTATTAAACAAAGCTAAAAAGAATGATTAATGGAAATGTAATAGACATTAAATGATGAGAATTGCTGTTTATTACTAATTAGAAGAATAATTTACCTCTTTTGGTGTAGAGAGTAGCTGTAGAATACCAGGTGTTACCCTTGCCCAGAAGTCCATAATAGTAGATGATGCTATCTGATGACTTTCTGATGTAACTGGGTGTTGAGCAGCTGCAGACTCACAATACATTGACCATAACTATTAAACATGAAACAAAAAACAAGACATAAGCCATTTTTAAATATTAAAGAAATACCTCTGGTGGACAACTCTTTAAGAGTCGATGGAAAAAAATAATGAATTCTTATAACATCTTTCAATTAAATTGTTTGCCACCTGATCATGAGGAATAAGGGAATCTTTGTTAATGATCTTCCGAAAGTCATGGTCAATCTACTTTCAAAATATTTGGGTTTGTATTTCAACAGAAGAAACCAATTCTTGACTTTGGTTGATCTCCATGGTTTTTACCTTATATGATTAAAATGATAAATTTCTATGAAGACATACATGTAACATACACTATTTTAAACAAAGTTGATTTAAACAAGCCTTGTAGTCTTATGTAACCAAATGAAATGAGAAAAGCTAATGAATTGATTGATTGTTTCCTTAACAGTGTCAAATATTTCATGCATGCTCATGATGAAAAGTTAATAGATGACAAGAAATGTGACAAAAGATGGAAATAGCTCATACTGTTCCAATGGGTCATGCAAGCTATAGAATATATCATCATAAGAATAAGGTTACAAAATAAGTATAACCTATAGCTAATCAATTTTTTTGTGCCTTTCTATCACTTACTGTTTGACTATGTAATTTGTAATTTTCCTTGTATATTTGTTGGGATTAGTAATCTGATACAGAAAAAAAACAGGTAACATTGTTATACAAAAAATAGAGATTAGAAAACTGAATGTATTTAACTTGTTTGTACTTACTTGACATAGAATGAAGGCATGAAACAGAGAGCTCATGTGAAGAACAGAATCCTACAAAATGAAAAAGTACAAATACATAACATAAGATACTTGGGTTAATATCTGTGTACGGTAGTACCTATACTTGGAAAGTGAATGAAAATGAATCTGGACCTTAGGAATAAATAATTCAAGGTCATGCATTCAAAATTAACTATGGTATTCCCCAAAGGAGAATGCATTTTAGAAATTTCTGTATGACTGTAAATTAAGAAATTATTTTCTGCATTCATTAATGTGATTGCTGTTAGACAGACTAAAATGTAAGATGAATTAATCCATACTCAGCAAATGATTCATACAAATAATGTTACCAGAAATTGAAATTCCAGTTATTAAATCTCAGTTGTTAAATCTCATCATATTTTTTATATAATATAAAAACAGAAATTTTTCCTATTAATTAACACTAGTAGCACGATTTCAGTCTGAAACGGTCATTTTGGTCTGATCATATCTTAATCGACTGGATTTACCGCTAGAGAAAAACGTCAAGACTTTTAAGAACTTTTCAGACGCCGTTTCGATCGATAGTCGCATCAGGTAAATCAGTCCGTTAAGGCATGTCAAGATAAACAAGACTGAATCTTCTAGCGAGCTGTTAAGATCCGTTACGACTGATTCAGTCGAAATCAGACCATGGATACAAAATTACGTCAAGATGTTGTCAGACCGTGTTCAGTCGTGTTCAGATTTTAATAATTTGGACACAAAACGAGTGAAACTTTCCCAGTGTGTATCAGGGGTTGCTCCCCTTCAAGAGTGAAATACAAATTAGAAAGAAGACGGTTTATGTTATTTTGATAGTTTACCAAGTCTACTTAATTAAAAAAATAAAACAATTTCGATTCTTACTTTTTCGTATGTAATTATTAAACATGTTTTATATTAAAAAAAATATATTGTTGTTGTTGTTTATTTAATCATTTTGCAATCGTGTTTGACTTGTGCATTCGACTTTCCTAAAGGTATCTTTTATTTTTTTATTCTGTCTATTTAGAGTCTTTTATAACTTCTTTTACATACCAGAAGCCTTCGTTTAAAAATAGAGTTTATATATTATTGGAGATGATGGTTTATGAATTCATAATTTCAAATTTATATTTGAAATATATTTGATAAATTAGCATGATGATTATGCGGAAGTGAAAATGTTCCGTCGGTGTATGTGAAGTAAATTTAAAGAATATGACTTAGTTACATATATTATACAGCATAATAAAACTGGTTTAATTTGAATTACTATCCATTAGGGACATTTTCCGATAATAATTAATCAAATCTGTCAAGTTTTATTAAAAACGGAAAACAATTCTTCACCCGTAAACGATTTAACGTTACTGTACCCACTTTATTTTTGTTGCATTCTGTCGGCGGAAAAGCAGGTCGGCAAACTATATTTTACTCAAAATCGTAGAAGGGAAACTTACAGTACAATATAAGCTGCTCTGAATATTGCAATCGGTGAGTAGAAATGAACAATATTTTAAAGCATGTCCATCACTCACTGCATCAGAATTTGAGAATAATCATGGATCCAAGATTTTGAAGGAAAAATGTGCACATTTGTTCCTACAGGTATGAATCAACGTTCTATATCATCGCACTCGTGCATAGTGGCGTGTTCCAATGCAACGTTAGGATGTAGGATTGTAAAAAGTTTATGCATCGTTGAAATTCATGTATGACACCATTCCCCTCCCCTTTTAATATCATGTTTATGAAATTATGTCATTTAAACCCTTACGACTTATGTACTTCAAATACATCCCAAGGGTGACAAAGGAATAGAAAAAAGGTTACTCTTGGTCTTCATCCAGTGGCGGGGCTAGGGGTTCCTGGGATTGGACCCCCCTTTTTTGGAGGATCAATGCATTTGAAAGGGGACATATAGTTTGAACCCCCTTTATCCTGGGTCGGGACCCTCCCCCGTTTTAAAAATGGCTGGATCCACCCCTGTTCATCGTCTTACTGTTAAACCCTAACATGTGGTGCATTGGTTTGGTTGTGCAGGATGGCCTATTACAGGACCTATACATATTGTATGATAATGTTAATGTATTGATAACTGTCTCGTCCTAAATTTGCATGATTAATTTGTCGCTGGATTTTTTATTACCAACAACCAAAAAATCTTTACATGTCCATTTTCATATGATAACTTTGCTAACGCTGGTTTATAAGTATGTCCCTTGTTTTACTTAATTACCTTGTGCCCGTTGTGGGCGATGCCGATGTACAATAATTACAATTATAAAATTATTTAATAGAATTTGAGATAATTCAAGTTGAATTTTACTACAAATCAAATATTTATATATAAAATGTTGTGAAAATTATTAATTTTATTGACTTATTTAGCAAAAATGCATGTTCAGTATATTTTTCAAATAATTCCTGAGTCATGGACAACGAAACATGAATAGATTTTATAATAATAATAAAGCATTGAAAGTGAATATCTATTAGATGGTTCAAAATAAAATTAATCATCAAAATTAAACAACTTCACAGTGTTATTAAATTAATATTCCTGAAACAATGCACAGAGTCATAACAGTTGCCATTTAAAAACAGTTGATAAAACAAAATGAGTTTATTGTTTCATCATGTACAGTACCCCCGGGCGTGTACCTATAAGGATTCATATTGAACAAGTGTTGTGGAGGATTCATCTTTTCTCAAAATGAATAATTACAATGAACATGATGAATAAAATATCTGTAAATATTTTATCATGTTATAGTAGAGGGATGACGCTCTGCACACGGCACACAGATTTGTCTTATATTATCATTCAATCCAAAGAACTATGAATCAAATTAGTGTGGCCTAAACTTTATATTTTCATGTGAACTTTGTCAGTTGTTACATAAATTTTGCCCTGTTAGCATGGTTAGTCGAAATTCATTGATGCCTTTTTACTTGTCTTGGTTTTGGGACTGCTGTCTCTTTGGAATATACCCAACATCTCCTTTTAGTCATGTTTTGGAATTGGCATGAATGGTCGTCCACATGAAAAACATATAAAATATACATGATGATGTTCAAGAAGATTAATACAGGGTTGAAGAGTGGTGCAAAAGGAATAACATGTTCATTAATGAAAATAAAACAAAATGTTTGGTTACTGGAACAAAGCAGAAACTATCAATTCAGACTTATCAACCAAACTTGATAATAAATTCAAAAGTATTACAAAATTCTTCATGTGAAAAATTATTAGGTGTTAAAATTGACAGCACACTTAACTGGAGAAATCAAATTGACCAAGTTTGTGCTAATATATCATCCAGATTCCAGAATATACCTTCTTTCTAAAATAAAGTAATTTTTAGATATAATGCATTTATTTCTGTTTTTATTAATCATTCTTTAAACTTATCTTTGTAGTAATTTTATAAAATGATCAAAAGAAATACCAGCTGTTGTGTTTTAGAGAGAAATAACTATGTCAGACTTTAAAGAATTGATCAAAACAAATGTAAAGTGCTAGCCTCAATTAGACAGTAACCCTTCAATGAAGTACACACATAAGAAAACATTAATGTAGAAAGAGAGACAATATCTTTTTAAAAATAGAACCCCAAAGAAAGATTTTATTCTTCTTGTTATATGAGACTTATATATAAGTTCAATTGTATAAGTCATAAATACAGTCGTATTAGTCATAGAACTTTGTTATCAAGCAAATTAGACTCGCCGGTTTTTCTTCTAGATACTAAATACAAGTAAATATATACAATATTAGATTAGTTTCAGTACTTTATTCTTAATGTATATTTTTTTTTGTAGAATTCACATTAGTTTGAGCATGATTCCCAGCCAGATTATGAAGCCGGCATATACATGGTATAGGAAATATATATAGATGTCACTAAGTAACTCTCATAGCTGCTAATTGTGAAACAGTGGATTAATTCATAACTTTGTGTTTACTTATTGCTTTTGTAAATAACAAATAGGGCTTACAGCATTATGCCATGATGTTGAAGGGATGTTCGGATTAGATTGGACAAGAAGAAAATTGTGCATTGAACAAATAGCCATCTTACAATTTGTAAGAAAGACTACATTACTTGATGACAGTGAATACCTTTGATATATTATTCATTTGAAATAACAATTTGGAATAAAGAGAATTCATAGTTTTCTGGGAATATTAATAGTGCATCATATCTGAATTCCATGAATATCTTGGATAGTTATTCATTTAGAATAGCAAATTGGAATAATGAAAATTCATAGTTTCAGTGATTACTAATAGTCAAATCAAATCAAACTTGTATTGCCATATAAACCAACTTATACGATTTGTGACAAAAACAACATTAATAATTATATACATTAAATGACAAGAAAAAAGCATGTATAATCATGATAATCATATTAAACAAACTGATGAAAATAGTTCAAAATTCAATTAAGAGTCCCCTATCCTTAGTGCCAATGACTTTTTTATAAAGGAACCTATGCTTTCTATCTGTTTTTGTGTTGATGGGCAAAGAATGTTTATCATTTTTTCATTTTCATTGAGGCTATTAAAATTTTCTATACTTTTAGCCTTTGTTAATTTTTCAATGAAAAAAGGGTCTAATGGTAGCATTTTTCCTGCAATAGAAAAGAAAAATTAATGTTTTTCATCCTCAATTGTATTGTAGGACTGACACAACCTGTTTTCCCTAGGGATTTTTAGGTGTCTCCATAGTGCATCATATCTGAATTCATGAATACCTTGGATAATTATTCATTTCAAATTTGGATTATGAGAATTTCTGGTTTCTGTGAAATTTATAGTACATCACATCTGAAGTTAATGCTGTCATTGCTATTGTGAGCTACATGTACCACCAGGGGGTGTTAAACAACCTTGACTACCCATGAGGGTCTGTCACAGCCCTCTCATGCTTGTTGGTTAGTGTCAAATGACTGCTTGTTGTACTTATAAGAGTCTGAATGTACATACATGTATATTGATAATAGTCTAAATTATTGGTCATACTGAAACTTGC